AATGTACAGGATGCATCATTGTTTAAAGGAGATTGCCAGGGGTATATATGAATACTTCTATAATATTTATAAATACAGCAGTTAAAATAAGCATTGAACATGTCATAATATATCCTGATAAATGTATTTCCATTGGAGCTGTTGACATAATATTAACCCAGATAATGTGAAGGCCCAAACTATTCAAGCAAACAAATTAACGAAACAAATTAATTCACAAAATCTATTTATTATTTTGTTTAAAAGTATTTTTTATAAGACAGCTGTCTGAGCTTTCCATCCCTTTTTACACCTCCCTTTCTTCATGTGTTCAGTTCTTGTCCCTGTGTCATTTCATTTTCTTACACATAACTTTATTTTAGGGTCAATAGAGTTAATCGGTTTTGTTTTCTTTGTAAGGATGCATTACTTTGGTTGTTTCTGGCATCTGGTGAAAATTTCAAGTCAACAGCACCTTTAGAAATATGTTTTCTGACAAAAACGCTGACGTGTTCATGACATAATAAACATATATAATAACAATATACACTCAATGGCCACTTTATTAGGTACAACTGCTTGTTACGCACATTTATAATCAGCCAATCACATGGCAGCAACTCAATGCATTTAGGCATGTTGACATGATCAAGACGACCTGCTGCAGTTCAAACCGAGCATCAGAATGGGGAGGAAAGGGGATTTAAGTAACTTTGAATGTGGCAGGGTTGGTGCCAGATGGGCTTGTCTTAGTATTTCAGAAACTGCTGATCTACTGGGATTTTCATGCACAACCATCTCTAGAGTTTACAGAGAATGGTCTGATAAAGAGGAAATATTCAGTGAGCGGCAGCTCTGTGGGCGGATAGCCTTGTTGATGCCAGAGGTCAGAGGAGAATGGCCAGACTGGTTCCAGCTGATAGAAAGGCTACAGTAACTCAAATAACGACTCGTTACAACCGAGGTCTGCAGAAGAGCATCTCTGAACACACAACACGTCCAACCTTGAGGCAGATGGGCTACAGCAGCAGAAGAACACACCGGTGCCGCTCCTGTCAGCTAAGAACAGGAAACTGAGGCTACAATTTACACAGACTCACCAAAACTGGACGATAGAAGATTGGAGAAACGTTGCCTGGTCTGATGTGTCCCCATTTCTGCTGACACATTTGGATGGTCGGGTCAGAATTTGGTGTCAACAACATGAAAGCATGGATCCATCCTGAATTGTATCAACAGTTCAGGCTGGTGGTGTTGGTGGTGTAATGGTGTGGGGGATATTTTCTTGGCACACTTTGGGTCTATTAGTACTAATTGAGCATGGTGTCAACGCCCCAGCCTACCTGAGTATTGTTACTGACCATGTCCATCCCTTTATGACCACAGTGAATCCATCTTCTGATGGCTACTTCCAGCAGGATGACGGACCATGTGATAAAACGAGAATCTTCTCAGACTGGTTTCTTAAACATGACAATGAGTTCACTGTACTCAAATGGCCTCCACAGTCACCAGAGCTCAATCCAATAGAGCACCTGGGGGATGTGGTGAAACGGGAGATTCACATCATGGATGTGCAGCCGACAAATCTGCAGCAACTGTGTGATGCTATTATGTCAATATGGAGCAAAATCTCTGAGGAATATTTCCAGTACCTTGTTGAATCTATGCTATGAAGGATTAAGGCAGTTCTGAAGGCAAAGGGGGTCAAACCCGGTACTAGTAAGGTGTACCTAAAAAAGTGGCCGGTGAGTGTATATTATTAGCAGTTTACAAGGGATTCACCTATTAACTATATTATTGTTAAATGTGAATTCAGTGCACGTTACAAATACAACAGTAAAAGTTTTGTAATAATACAAATAATATAAAATATTCAAATAAATTATAGATGTTTTGAGCCTTTTAAGCGTTAAAAAAAACGTTTTCAAATCTCCTGTGGATAAAAGCAGACCTGAACGCATTACGAGGGTTAAATTACACACAACACAGACACATTACACGCATCTCATCCAAGATTGAAGAAAACATGAAGGAAAACAGCTGAGTGTTCAACTTTCCCTCATTTTGGAGTGTATAAATGCTAAACACACACTTTCAGAGCCACACACACATGTGCGCGCACACACACACACACACACACACACACACACGTCAGCAGCCATCTACCGCAGCACTCATGAAATGAATGTCTTCATTTGACCGTCAGCTCTCTGTATGTTTATTGCTCTGGTCTGCTGGTCATGGCAACGTCTCTCTGTCTTTTCTGGGATTTTTCCCTCTCCATTTCCATTACTCACCTCTCAAATCTGCCGACTGAAGCGCTCTGCAGCTGTCTGTCCTTCTGCATCAAGGAAAAGATGGAAAATCTAGTTATATGCAATGGGTTTAGCTTTTAAATTATGTATTGGTTTTAATCATGTTCTACTTACCTCAATAATTAAAACTTTTTCTTTTGTCTTCTGTTTTTAATAGCTTGAAATTGACTTTTCAATTTGATTTTCTTGTTTTAGAAAACCTTAGTTTTAGTCCTCGCATTTAATTGGCTGAGCAAACAAGAACAAATGTTGCAATCAGTTCATGATTTTCATTGTTCAGTACAAATATCTTGGAATTTTAATTGATGATTCACTTTCTTTTAGTTTATGAAAAAACTAAAAGTGATTTTAGGCTCCTATTTCAGAATTAAGAGCTGCCTTTCTTTCGATGCTAAAAGGAAGCTGGTTTATGCAACATTTATGTCGATATTGGGCTACGGTGATGTTATCTATTTGCATACTTGATCTTAGAGCCTGCATGCATTGGATACTGTTTGCCATGGTGCAGTAAGATTTATAACTCATTTTAAATCTCTTACTCATCGTTGTGTGCTGTACACGGGTAGGTTGTTCTGCTTTGTGCATTCATAGGCTCAAGCATTGCTATTTTCAATTTAATTCCAACTACCAGCTTCCAGCTAACTCTATCAAACCTCTTCAGATGTTTCAGACTGCAGCAGCACGAGTGGTCTTTAATGAACCTAAAAGAGCACATGTCACTCCGCTGCTCATCCGTTTGCACTGGCTGCCAGTTGCTGCTCGCATCAAATTCAAAGCTCTGATGTTTGCTTACAAAGCGACTTCTGGCTTTGCTCCTTCTTATCTGCTCTCACTTCTGCAGATGTATGTGCCCTCCAGAAACTTGCGTTCTGTGAATGAACGTCGCCTTGTGGTTCCATCCCAAAGAGGGAAGAAATCACTTTCCTGAACTCTCGGTCAATCTGCCCAGTTGGTGGAATGAACTCCCTAACTGCATCAGAACGGCAGAGTCACTTGCTGTCTTCAAGAAACGACTAAAAACTACAACTATCGGATCTTCGCCTCCTTTTTCCCGGGTTTCGGCATCACTGTAATGAAGTTTATGGCTTTTTGGCTGCTGGGAAGAAAGAGGCGGAGAACCGACGCATGCAGTTTTAAAGAATTTATTCATAACATGAACGGCAGCTCTACTAAAAGCAAAAGTAAAACAATATGTCCAGGCCCGGTTCTCTCTCGGCTACCTCTGCCATCGTTCCTCCTCTTATAGTCCAGAGCTCCTTCTGTGGGAGTGAGGCTGCCGCGTAAGTGGATGCACCTGTGATGCGCACCAGCCTCGAATCCTACAGAAGGAGCTCTGGACTATAAGAGGAGGAACGATAGCAGAGGTAGCCGAGAGAGACATATTGTGCCCGGACATATTGTTTTACTTTTGCTTTCAGTTTGACGACAGTCTCCGTGAGAATTTTGTTTTGGTTTATTCATGTTATGAATAAATACTTTAAAACTGCGTCGTTTCTCCGCCTCATTCTTCCCGGTGGCCAAAGGGGCGTAAACTTCATTACTTCATTCAACTTCATTAAATAACTTTTTGATCACAGTCTTAGGAGAAATGTTTCCTAACTATAAGACGCCGGCTGAAATGGCGCGTTTGGTCACGAGAAGTCGACTTTCCGAGGCAAAAACAGTCTCCCTTGATGCGTTTGATTACGTACAGGCAAGCACCCAGTTCAGGTCGACGCAGGAGGAAGATATGAGGTAAGGCAGATAGGAGATTTTGTTCATTTGTCAAATAAATAAATGAATAATTTAGCCGATATGCTCGTCGTGCAAGTTCATTATTAAAATATGAATGAAAAAAGCAATCAGAAAGTCTGCAAATTAAATAACGATCAATAATAAGTTATGACGGAAATTTTACAACCCTCTCCATCAAAATGACGGACAATCAGAAAGTCTAACGCAACCTCTGGTGCATATATACTGCTCTAGATTTCATATATCCATATATCCTCATATAGTTTCTTTACATGTGGGCAGGTTGAGGCTCACAATCCACAGCTTCATCTGAGTTTTTAGCCGAAGCCAGAGCTGAACTGGGAGAGATTCTGGAAGTTCTCCTTTGTCAAATGCTAGAGCTATATCTGTTTTATAATTCTCTGGAACATAACTAAATTAAACTGTAAGCTCTTTTCTCTTTGTGCTGTGTCCTCTGAAAGCACAAATACAGAAAGAGAGGAAGCTCTGTGGAAATAGCAGCGTTTGGACGCCACTTTAGCTTTCTCTGTTGTAACATCACAGCGCCTCTGGCCACGCCCCTTCACTGCGCGGTTTGGTGAAAGCAAGTAACCTGAAGCATTTGTGATCTCACCAACTTGGATATCTTTTTTTATAGTCCCCAAACTTCATTCGCTGCTTTGCTAAGCTAACTCTGTAAAAGCCAATGCCTCCCTTTGCATTGAGCGTCTTACATTCAGAGATGTTGTTTATGTTCGCACAGCTACATTACACATCAACTAAAGTTTCAAATATGATTTCGTACTGGACCACCCCTTTAAAAATTGTGCTATATAAATAAACTACACACAATCACACATGCGTATAGCAGATATCTATATGAGATCAGAAAATCTGTCCTCCTCCAGATGAAGTGGTGTGGAGGTGTGTCTGGGCTGTGGGCCGGACTGTCTGTCTCACACACACACACACACACACACACCACAGGAAAAGAGCAGCACAGATAAAGGGCTTTCTTCCATTACGCGCAGTCGGACTCCGAGCTCCCTGCACGTAAAATCACCGCTCAACTTCTGCACAACCCAAAGATGGAAATATAATAAATAAAACAAATTCTACTTTAAAAACAGAGGACACACGAATGGCTCTCAGTGAGGAAACTCTGCGCTTTGTCATATCTGATGGTGAGTTAACATCAAATACAAGATTACAGAAGAGTTTTAGGCATCACATACAAGATTAAACTCAAACGAGAAATAGTTTTAGGCATTCAAAGAGCATTTACAAATGATATAACGTTTTGGGAAACTACAATGTTTAGCGTTTAAAAACATTGCTATTATTTAATGTGCAATTAGGGACATGCACAATAGCAAGTTCAGTGCATGTTTTGTGATTCTGGATGGTATTATTATATGTTTTATATATTATATAAATTAAAAGTGACCTTAAACATGCTATACAATAATTCAAGTCAACTGTTTAACTCTTGGAGACTTAGCTTTTGAATTCCTTTTGAGTTGCAATGCGTTTTCTCTGCTGTTTCGCTGTGTGTTTTTAATAGGATTACCAGCATTATTGTAAGTTGGATGTGCTTTTCTTTTGGACAGTAATGTGATTACAGTGTATTTTGAGCATGTGGATGCATTCTGTATTATATGTAGCTTATGATGACTTGATTACTGGTTTGAAGGTGGTCAGATGCTGGTTGACCACCCACTATGTAGACTTTACAACACTGCACTGTTACCATTTTTAACCAGAGAATAACGTTTGGGGTTAGTAAGGCATTCATTTATTATATTTAAAGAATTAATAGTATCTCAGTGGTTAGCACTGTTGCCTCACAGCAAGAAGGTCGCTGGTTCGAGTCCCGGCTGTGAGGAGTTTGCATGTTCTCCCCGTGTTGGCGAGGGTTTCCTTCACAGTCCTAACACATGCGCTACAGTTGAATTGAATTAACTATGCTGTAGCGTATAAGTGTGTGTGTGAATGAGAGTGTATGCGTGCTGGATGGGCATTCGCTGCGTAAAACATAAATAGCTGTCGGTTCATTCCCCTGTGGCCACCCCTGATAATTAATGGACTAAGCTGAAGAAAAATGAATGAATGGTAGAAAGGACACATTAAAAGATCTAAAGTCAGATCAAAACTCATTTTCAAGATGCTTTGGACAAAATGTGTATGTAAAAGTGACAGTAAATGTATTATGTTCAGCTTCCATGTTGTTTTTATGCATGCAAATTAAGAAAAGGTTTCAATTTCCTCCAAAATATATTTTTAAACATTTTTTATTTATTCTTTGATGATTATTTTTGTTTTAGGTCATGAATCAGCACACGATAATGATTTCTGAAGGATCACTTGACATTGAATACTGGTGTCGTGCTAAATAGTCAAATTTCAGGAATAATTTCTATTTGAATATATTTTCATATTAAAACCTTCATTCATTCATTTTCTCGTCGGCTTAGTCCCTTTATTAATCCGGGGTCGTCACAGCGGAATGAACCGACAACTTATCCAGCAGGTTTTTACGCATCGGATGCCCTTCCAGCCGCAACCCATCTCTAAGAAACATCCACACACACACACTCATACACTACGGACAATTTAGCCTACCCAATTCACCTGTACCACATGTCTTTGGAAACCGAAAACCGGAGCACCCGGAGGAAACCCACACGAACACACCTAGAACATGCAAACTCCTCACCGAAACGCCATCTGAGCCGAGGTTCGAACCAGCGACCCAGCGACCTTCTTGCTGTGAGGCAACAGCACTACCTACTGCGCCACTACATCACCAAATTAAAACCTAATATTTTATTTTGTAATAATGTTTTTGTTTCTATTACAAACATAAAATAAATGATCGCAATATCACACTTTTAAACAATACACTACACTGTAAAAATGATATGATCAATAAGACATCATATGTAATGAGTAGGGCCAGACGGATTCTGCGGACATCATTTGCTGTTTCTGCCCAGAATTTTGTTGAAAATCTGCGGATTTATGTGGAAGGATTTTGGGAGTATCATAACTAAAACCTTAATATATAAACCAAAAAGTAATACATTATTAACTTGTATTTAATGTTTACAATGCAAATCCAGTTAGATCCACTTTATTTGATAAACAAAGTAAGTTTCTCATACAATATGCCGGCTAGAAAATGAATGAATGAACGAGTTCCTATAGAAATTCATTCATTCATTCATTTTCTTGTCTGCTTAGTCCCTTTATCAATCTGGGGTCGCCACAGCGGAATGAACCGCCAACTTATCCAGCAAGTTTTTATGCAGCAGATTCCCTTCCAGCCGCAACCCATCTCTGGGAAACATCCACTCACACACACACTCATTCACACTCACACACTACGGACAATTTAGCCAACCCAATTCACCTGTACTGCATGTCTTTGGACTGTGGGGGAAACCCAATGCGAATGCAGGGAGAACATGCAAACTCCATGCCAACTGAGCCGAGGATCGAACCAGCGACCTTCTTGCTGTGAAGCGACAGCACTGCGCCACTGCTTCGCCTCCTATAGAAATGGAATAATAATTGAGTAAACAGTGGGCGTGACTTGTTTTTCTACTGCGAGCTGATTGGCTGGTTTCATTCACAAAGATGGGGAAAAGGGTTTGGGGAGAGTTATTGCAACATCACAGACTCCTCCTCCACACCATTTCTGTGTGTTGTCAAAACTGACAGCTGGAGGGGGCGTGGTTAAGTATGCTAGCCCCGCCCAAAGATAGACTTAATGAGGATTACTGAGAATTGAACTGAAGATAATTTATTTATAAACTAATTTCGAGAGGATCACGTGTTTATGATTGACCACAGCTGGTCCTGTATTAGCTATCATATGGTTTACCAATCAGATGAATCCAATACAATATAAATAACCAGAGTTTCTTACCTGAGTATCTTCGTATTGAAGAGTCCCCCTTTCCATCTCTACTCCTCCTCCTTAACTAGATGGACGGCACGACACGACGAATGTCACTGTTTCGAGTCCTTTCTGGGCCAGTTGATGTTTCTGTGTGGAGTTTGTATGTTCTCCCTGTGCTTGCCGCTCGCGTGGGGTTCCCCCAGGTTCCCTAGTTTCCTCCCACAGTCCAAACACATGCTCAATAAGTGAATTGACAAACCAAACTGACACTATAAATGAGCTCTCAGTCAGGCTCTTACTTATGCCTCAGTCAGCAGCTTATCTCTCTAAAGCGACTCCTACTATCTATCTTAGGCCCCGTTTATGTAGTTTTGCTACGGTTACGCCATCCGTCAACACTATGCCGGAGTTTTCGAGCGCCAAAAACGAACCGTTTTGGAAACGCTGGAGAGGCTGTTTTCATTCTGAAACGCTGCTGCTCCGTCTCAGTGTGGATGACGGAAAACGGAGACATCTGAAAACGGAGGCGGGGCTGCTGAGATTCGCTAGCTGATTGGGGCTTTTGTGTCATTGCGTATCCTTCCCTTATTCGTCAAGCCCCTATCACATGACTATAACACATGGCTTTAACACTACCTGAAGACAGCAGACCAGCCTTCACTGTAAACAACAACATGGACACAGAAATGGGAGTGTTGTTTGCACTATTGTTTGTTTTAGGCGGCATTGTGCAGTTATTCCTTTGTTACCTTTAGTAACAACTCGACCTCGTCGTCTGTCCACAAAAATACCTCTCTTGCTTTCTTTGCCATCGCGTTCATTGTTCAACCAACGTTTGTTGACTAACAATAACCAAATGCCGAGCAAGACGCATGCTTCCTGTTTATACTAGAGTGCGCATGACCAGAGTGCGCAAATGGTCACGTGATATACGTTTTTGGTGGCGTAGTGTGGACGGAGATATGTTCAGAAATGCTAGGTGAATCGCAAGTGTGGACGCGGATCGTTTTTGATCTAAGACGCCGTTTTAAAAGTAAAACGCACTAATGTAAACGGGGCCTTAGACCCTAACTAAACCAGGGGAGTTCTTTAGACCAACCTGAGTTCTCCAAACAAGGAGTCCCAAACTCGAGGATTTTCTGAGCTCAGGGCTCTCTCCCAGGACAGCATGCCAAACAAGCTTTATAATCAATCATCAGCTAAGTGTGAACTCTTGAACTATACAAGGGCAAACTTTTATTTTTTTCTTAATGACATGCACAGATGAATTGTACAAAACTAGCAATGTGAGCTAACAAAATCACGTGGTGAGTTTTGAATTCATTTGTACTTATTTTATGTCTTTGAATGTGACTTTAAAGCACGTCTCTTTTCTCTCTGCAGGGAGATGTGTGCCACCAACATGACAGTAAAGGGTGGTGTTTGACCGACCGCTCACCCTGAAGAAAAGAAAACATTCACAAAACACCAGTCTGTGAGCTGTTTTTACCAGCACATGAGGCGCTGCTATGATCAACCAACACATCTACAACCATTACAACTTCACCGGAAAACTAGACAATCGCAATGAAACCAAAGGGGCGCCGATGGACCCCAAAATAATGGCCTTTTATGTTGTCTGCAGCTTGATCGTCTTGGAGAACCTAATTGTGCTGGTGGCCATTTGGAGGAACCACAAGTTTCATAATCGGATGTACTTTTTCATCGCTAACCTCGCTTTGTGCGATTTGCTCGCCGGTGTGGCTTACATCGCAAACATACTGATGTCAGGACAGCGGACGCTCCATTTATCTCCAGCCGAGTGGTTCATTCGTGAAGGAAGTATGTTTGTGGCGTTGGGCGCTTCGATTTTCAGCCTGCTAGCGATTGCAATCGAACGCCATCTCACCATGATCAAAATGAGGCCTTACGACGCTAACAAAAACTACAGAGTCTTTCTGCTCATAGGAACATGTTGGTTGATCGCCATTACTTTGGGATCGCTTCCCATTTTGGGATGGAACTGTTTAGAGGATCTTCCACAATGCTCGACTATATTACCTCTATACAGCAAGAATTACGTTGCGTTCTGCATTACCATCTTCATATCGCTTCTTCTAGCAATTTCAATCCTCTACGCGCGTATTTACGTCCTCGTCAAGAGTAGCAGTCGTAAAGTAACCAAACACAGTAACTGCGAGCGCTCCATGGCTTTACTGCGGACGGTCAGTATCGTCGTTGGCGTTTTTATCGCATGCTGGACGCCGATTTTCGTGCTTTTGTTAATCGACGTAGCGTGTGGTCCCAAAAGATGCCCGGTTCTTCTGAAAGCTGATTGGTTCGTTGCTCTAGCTGTTTTAAACTCCGCTATGAATCCCGTCATCTACACATTGGCCAGCAGAGAAATGCGAAGGGCCTTTTATAAGCTCATATGTGGATGTTTGGTGAAGGACGGAGTTGTGGGATGCAAAAACACGGATCCAAGTCGGAGCAAATCTAGCTCCAATTGCCCACGAGTGGCAGAACAAGAAAACCAAGATGTCTGCAATTCGTAGTTTTTTTGGTGACTCAGAGGTGTAGATAGTAAAGCAATGCAAACAACTGAAATGTTCTGAGTGTTTTAAGCTGATCAATATTTTGATATTTAAAAGTACATTACAGCTGAATTATGACCCCCCCATTTCTATTTAACAAAAGTTTTTTCCAAAAATGACTAGAATACTGTTATATACTTTGCCGACCTGTGTACTTATGTAGCAGAGGCCAGCTAGTAAGTCCTCTGACCTCTGAAGGTGCTCTAGCGACAGACCCTAGAGGCCATGGTCTTTAGCCTCCTTGTAAGAACAACTGACTCACATGCGGAAGGTCGACGGTTCGATACCAACTCGGAGCGGGTTGGGTGGCGTAGGACTGGCGGGGTTACATTGGTGCCGTGACCCGGATGGGAGTGAGGTTTAGGGGGGTGAGTGAAGCAGAGGCCAGCTAGTAAGTGCTGTGCAGGTAAACCTCACTCCTCTGACCTCTAAAGGTGCTCTAGCGACAGACGCTAGGGGCCATGGTCTTTAGCCTCCTTGGTAGAGTAACCAACTCCCATGCTGAAGGTCGCCGGTTCGATACCAGCTCAGAGCGGATTGGGTGATGTAGGACCGGCGAGGTTACATTGGTGCCATGACCCGGATGGGAGTGAGGTTTAGGCGGGTGAGTGTAGCAGAGGCCAGCTAGTAAGTGCTGTGCAGGTAAACCTCACTCCTCTGACCTCTAAAGGTGCTCTAGCGACAGACGCTAGGGGCCATGGTCTTTAGCCTCCTTGGTAGAGTAACCAACTCCCGTGCTGAAGGTCACCGGTTCGATACCAGCACGGAGCGGATTGGGTGGTGTAGGACCGGCGGGGTTACACTTATATTATCTCAAATGTTTGTAAGAATGTTAATATCCAGAAAAATCAATTTTAGTTGGCTCTGTGTTCATGCTAATTTCTGGTTTGGGTTTGAAGAAAACAGGGACAGCAGCGAGGCTTTAATATATTGTAATATATTACACATGCAAGTTACTGTGTTGCGTTCATGTTGTGGATGTATCTGTTTGGCAAAATGTAGTCTGCATCACCTCTACGTCGTATACTGAATTTAGTCTTTGAATATCATTAAGTCATTCTTTAAAAAATTGATGATTATCACCTTGCTTTGCCCTCCAGCCTCACGTCATGTACAACTATAACTCCAAACCACTCACAAAAATCAACCTAGCAGCCGTGACAGAGCCTAAAGCACTCAGTGTGTGCACTAAAATGCACACTACAGCATTAGTGCATGCTATAGGACTTTAGTATGCACTTTTTAAGTGCACTTAAAGCATTAGAGCATACTAAAGTGCACACTAAAGTTACACGTTAAGTGCATAATGGCACAAAGTCCTAATGTTCCCCACAGTAGAACAAAACATTTATTTAAGATGAGTAAAATATTCATACTTGACAAACATATTGAATGCATTTATACAGCGATATGTTTAATAATGTACCCATATGAACAAATACTATAGTAATGTAAAGTAAATACTATATTAATGTGTATTGTGTATGTTGCAGTATTCACAACTCTTTGTTAATAAATGCGTCAACATACTTTAGTAATAAATATGGTGAACTGATAAACTGTAATGCCCAGGTGTCAAACTCAGTTCCTGGAGGGCCGCAGCTCTGCAGTTTAGTTCCAACCCTAATGAAACACACCTGATCAAACTAACTGCTTTAGATTTGTTTGAAACCTACAGATAGGTGTGATGAAGCAGGGCTGGAACTAAACCCTGCAGGGCTGCGGCTCTCCAAGAGTTGAGTTTGACAACCCTGCTGTAATGTATACCGTAGTTTTTACTATAGTAAACATTGGTGTATTGAATGACCCTATGTATGTGGAAAACTACACTATTGGGTCATTTGTTTCTAATAAAATAGATACCATAGATCTGTAGAATCCCCACATCAGATTACTTATATATAGTATGGCTCAAAAACACTGTAGTATTTACTTTAAACCACTATAGTAATTTTTTTTTCACCTGGACATACCTTTAATGTTGGTAAAAGCAGGAGTGGATGTAATATATTAGCATGTTTTACACCTTTGCCTTGGCATATTGTTTGGAGGTTGTTCATTTTGTTGAAGTAATTTAATTGTGAGATATTTAAACTTTAACCCAATGACTAAAACAAAGGGATGTGTGTAAATGTAGGCTGCTGTAAATGTATTATAAGATTAAACGCATGATGTTTAAAGCTGTTTATAGTACTGGATGTTGTGTGTGTAGTGTGGATAATTTTAGCTCAAGCTCGCCCTCTGCTGGGCACAAACTAACAGCACAAACCAGTTGTAATCGAGATCTGTGGCTGTTTTTCAAGCGTCTAAACTACGTGAACCATGATTTACAGAAGACTCCCACTAAAAAGTAAATCAATGTAACAACAGTTTATATATCACAAACTCTTATCAGGCATATTTAGAGAGAAAATCATTTAAGTACATATTTATTAATGATATTTGACAACCAAAATATTATTAGTAATTTTTAAGCTACATCTTTATACTGCTGTGTTTCGAATAACTATTGGTTACTTCTTTTATATATTATTCTTTTTGTGTTACCCTGAAAGGTGAATGGAACTTTATTGCATAAAAGTTATTTGACGCATTAGAGTAGACACTGTACTTGAATTTAATGATTACACATATAAAACTTCATCTTCTGAATCTGTTGCTCACTTATTTTGGGAGTGTCCCTTTGTTAAATCTTTTTGGTCGGATGTAAACTCTCTAATTGTCCAAAAGGTTTGGTGATTTTTTTTAAGCTATAGACATGTTATTTTGGGGTTTTATATAAAGGAAAACAATTCCTTAATTCAACTTTTTGAATAAACCTCATTTTATTTATTGGAAATTTTTTTATACACAAATGCAAATATACTCATTGTAAGCCTATTTTTAAATTTTTTTTTAAACGAGAACTAGCTCTTTATTTAAAAAAAAAAACTCTTTATTAAAACTTATAAAATATGTGACAAAACCAAAACCAAGGGTTATTTGTTATTAAACCAAGAGATACTTAAAACTCCTCCACTACCGCCACCTTATCACAGTGGAGGGGTTTGAGTGCCTGAATGATCCTAAGAGCTATGTTGTTGGGGGCTAATGCCCCTGGTAAGGTCTCCCAAGGCTAACAGGTCTCAGGTGACAGGTCAGACTAAGTGCGGTTTAAAAACCCCTTATGAGTACAAGAACATCAACGACCGTGACGTCGCCTGGGGCCCACCCTGGAGCCAGGCCTGGGGTTTGGGCTCGTATGCGAGCGCCTGGTGGCCAGGTTTTTCCCGCGGAACCTGGCCGGGCCAAGCCCGAAGGAATGACGTGGGACCATCCTCCCGCAGGCCCACCACCTGCAAGGGGAACCGTAAGGGGCCGGTGCATTGTGGAATGGGTGGGGGTCGAAGGTTAGGACCGCGACAACCCGATTGTCAGACACAGAAACCGGCTCCATTTGATATTTTCATGATTTATATATAAAGAGTTTACCCCAAAACAAAAAATGAATCACATTTTTAAATAATGCTTGTTGAAATTAGTTCTAAATGCAAAACAAACTGTTTTTTCTCGGAAATTAGGGTCAAATATCATCCACTGAAGTTCTTCAAAATAAATAAATCAATAATAATAGGTGACGTGGTGGCATAGTGGGTAGCGCTTTCATCTCACAGCAAGAAAGTTGCTGGTTCGAGTCCCGGCTGGGTGAGTTGGCAATTCTGTGTGGAGTTTGCATGTTCTCTCCATGTTGGTGTGGGTTTCCTCCGGGAGCTCCGGTTTCCCCCATAGTCCAAACACATGCGCTATAGGAGAATTGATTAACTAAATTGGCCAGAGTATGAGTGTGTGTGAATGTGAGAGTGTATGGGTGTTTCTTAGTACTGGGTTGCAGCTGGAAGGGCATCCGTTGAGTAAAACATGCTGAAATAGTTGGCGTTACATTCCTGATAAATAAGGGACTAAGTCAAAGGAAACTGAATGAATGAATAATAATAATACATTTCATTTTAAACATGCTTTTTTTAACCCCCAAAGCACCAAATTTAGACTGAGCAGAACAGTTTTGCATCAATGATAAAGACTAGAGTTAATCCACAGAAGCAGAAAGAGGAGATGTGCTTGTTTTCTGAAGTCCGGTGACCTTCTGAACATCAAAACTGAAGAGCATCAAACACAGACCAACTTCACAGAGAGAAACACAGTCTGCATCAACAACACCCATGGAGCAGAGAGAAGTTGATCTGGGACTGTTTAGAATTTACAGATTACTATTATTAATTTATTATGTTTTTTTTTTTTTATCATCTTTTTAGCATCATACAGGGGTGCATTTCCGAAAGCCGTGGTTAGCCAACTAAGGTCGCAAGTTGTGTCGTTACAAACATAGTTTGTTGATTTGGTGTTTCCCAAATCCATCGTTCCAACGAACATTAGCAAACTGCATCGCAAACTTGTATGCTTGCAACTGCACCTCTGGAGCTGTAGTTAGAAACATAGTTCCTTGCTGTGTTCTATTCCCACTAATCCCCCCTATGCCCTATTCACTTAGAACATTCTGACATTAAAACTTGGAATGATTAAAAATAAGAAGCATTAAGGTCATCTCTCTTACGTGTAATTTACTTTCAAAGTATTTTACAGTTCAGTTTTAGCGATCTTCAGGTTTACAATTGCGCTCCCTTTGCACTTTGAAAACATTGATGTCATTTTGAACACAGCTGTGGCTCATAACGAAAGGTGACCTATTATTTAAAAGCGGAATATCTTTTACGTATCTAAAGCTTATGAAAACAAAAAACACAGCATACGCTAATGCTTTTAATTTATAGTAGATTATTTATGAAGTATCTGTACTGTATATGACATGGGCCTGCTGGTTAGAACATTTCTGCTGTGGTTTACATGTGTCAAATTGTAAAAGTAGCCTTTTCAAAAAAAATAAAAAATAAATAAATAAACGATATCCTACTTAATAATAATGATAATAATCATAAGAATAATGAAGATCATCATCAACATTATTAATATTTTTTATATTATTATTAAAGTATGATTTTCTTTAATTTCCTAATAAATAATAAATATTAAATCTCATTTCTTAATAAATAGCCTCATTATTTATTTATTTATTTATTTATATGATTTGTGCATGATTTTAGAATACGTGTCAGCTTTTGTAAGTGATTTTATGTTAATTTAGAATAGAATATGTAATGTTCTTAATAATATTTGTAAAGGAAACACAGGGTCTATATGTGCCCTTTAAATATTTCAATTATGATGGAAAGCGAGTGCATGTTTTTACCAAAACGAATATTGGATTTTTTTAATGCTTGTGCATGTAAAGCAATATAATATATGCACAAATAAATGATGGGGTTCTTCTCTACAGAAGTTTTTACCACTCAGTTTACAGCATCACGTTATAACTAACGTGGTTCAAATGATGGATCTGCGACAGAGAAATTATGAGTTTTGGGAAACACTCGTCACTACATCGTTCTTTTCCCATACGATGCATTGTACTATGATAGTTCAGCCACGATCTAAGTCGTTATTTGGGAAATGCCCACATCCTGAGAGATGGCTGCTGAGATAAATGACTCGCCTTAAAGCAGGGGTCACCAATCTCGGTCTAGGAGGGCCGGTGTCACTGCAGGGTTTAGCTCTAACTTGCCTCAACACACCTGCCTGGATGTTTTAAGTATACCTAGTAAGACCTTGATTAGCTTTTTCAGGTGTGTTTGATTAGGGTTGGAGCTAAAACCTGCAGGACACCGGCCCTCCAGGAACAAGTTTGGTGACCACTGCCTTAAAGCATAGGTCTCAAACTCAATTCCAGGAGGGCCGCAGCTCTGCACAGTTTTGCTCCAACCCTACTCAAACACAGCTGATTCAACTAATCAAGGTGTTCAAGAGTAGTCTTGAAGGTTGTTATCACCCATCCACATGATTAATCAGCTATAGCCGGAAGTTAACTGGAATTCTGTTTATTATTATTTATCAAATTTCCCATTAGTTGTATTTTATTAATATCTACCCCAACCCTAAACCCAACCGTCACCGTAATGTAAAAACAAACCTGTATCTGGAGTCTTCTCTATTAGTAGAGCTGATTAACTATGTAGGTGGATGATTACAGCCTTATGAGCCTATACTAGTAGTTACAGAAGGCCCCTACTGGCCCATATCTATCAGCTGATAACAATCGAGTGATAACATTGGAAGCGGGTGCAATTTTAATTTGTGTGTGTGTGTGTGCGTGTTTTGGTTTGAGTTGCAGTTTTTGCTACAGCATCATGAAAACAGGAAAGGCAGCATTGTTTGCAGTTGGAGTCAGTTTAATTTGCATCATGTCAAAGAACATCTTTCCCTAAATGCAGTCATTCAGAGAAACAAATGAACAGACTCTGCAGAGTTTACTGAAAGTTTGCTGGGATTTGGCAGTTTCAATCGGGACAGTAAATTTGTGTTAAGGATCACTTTTGAGTGTCAACTTCACATTTCAGTCTTTTATTATTACACTACTGAGGTTTCGCCATCATCTAAAGATAAAGAGTTAATCTTAAACTAAACTAGTCTTTCTTTTTAAAGTTATCTATTGATTCCTGCAACTTTGACTTGGAAAATACAGGGCGATATAATCATTTTTCAACGAAAATATGCGCATGTAAAAAGTACAGGTTTTTATCTTGTGCTGTAAATTCTCTGTGATATTATTCTGTTTGCAGGGTTATATTTAAATCATTAGACAAATGGCAAATTAAATGTATGTATGTTTTTCACATATATTCACCCTGTGCCTCCAAATCATTACCTCAAGAGTTTGTGGCTAAAGTCAATACATAAATATCATGTGTCGTGTCATGTGCGTGTGAGAATGACAATATTCAAAATGATGCAAGAACGCAAACGATAACAATCGTATTAAAATAATCAATTTAGAGAAAGATAAAACTAAATCCACAGTTGAGCATATATGAAACTGCACTCAAACCTATTTAATATGAATACAAATCACAATTTAGGTGACTTTATGGGTGAATCTCATCAGATCAGGTCATCAAAAAAGAAAAATCAATGCTATCATATATATATATATATATATATATATATATATATATATATATATATATATATATATATATATATGTGTGTGTGTGTGTGTGTGTATATATATATTTCTATATATATCTGTATTCTATGTATTTCTATATATATCTATTTCTATATATATCTCTATATAAAATATTTCCCAAATTATGTTAAACAGAACAAAAAAATTCACAGCATGTCTGATAATATTTTTTCTTCTGTAGATTGTCTTCTTTCTTTTATTTCGGCTAGAATAAAAGTAGTTTTTAATTTTTTAAACACCATTTTAAGAACAAAATTATTTGCCCCTTTAAGCTGTATTGTTTTTCGATAGTGTACAGAACAAACCATTGTTGTACAATAACTTGCCTAATTCCCCTAACCTGCCTAGTTAACCTAATTAACCTAGTTAAACCTTTAAATGTGACTTTAAGCTGTATTGACCTTATTCTAAACTGCGGAAGTGCGCCTGTTTTCGCGATTGTCTTAGAACTTCCGTTTCAGTCGCCTATGGGAGAAATGACTAGGAATAATAAACGGCAAAAAACAGTCAAACTACTTGCTCAACAAACAAATGTTTGCATGACTATACAGACCAAGTAGAATAATATAACAAGGAAATATCAGTTTGCAACATCAAACAGCGAAACGAGCAGTTTTAAATGTCTAAAATGAATGGAAGTGAATGAGACCGGAAGTCTCGTGCCAAAAAGATTCAAATGGCTGCGCCCGCTCGTCTGCGGAGAATAAGGTGAATAGAAGTGTCTTGAAAAATATTTAGTCAAATATTATTTACTATCATCATGGCAAAGATAAAATAAATCAGTTATTAGAGATGAGTTATTAAGGCTATTATGTTTAGAAATGTGTTAAAGAAATCTGCTCTCCAATATAGAAAAAATTGGGGAAAAAATAAACAGGGGGCTAATAATTCTGACTTCAACTGTGTGTGTGTGTATGTATATATATATATATATATATATATATATATATATATATATATATGTATATGTATGTATATATATGTATGTATATATATATATATATATATATATATATATATATATATATATATATATATATATATATACACACACACACACACACACACACACACACACACGCAGTAATACTAAAGGTAATTTCAACACCTTTTTAAGACTTTTTAAAGACCTTCTCAGAATATCATCGCGTTCTTCAAGTTCTAATCAGTATCAAACCTTTAACTTAATAAACATTTGTTAATGAACAGTTGTAGTTAAATAAATCAACAGAGCACAACCATCCAACAGCTCAGTTAAGCTTGGAAGAAAGAAAGCTTAAAAAGGATAAATTACGAGGTTGTTTAAACTCATCTTTCTCCAACAAGGAGTACGCAAATGTACATTTTCCCATTTTTCTGTCTGTTTCGCTCATGAATTCGCTACATGTAGAGAGCCTCACATCAACTTCCCGCGTTTGTTGCAAATTACGTGACATCACCCGGACAGAGGAGCTTGGCCAGATGCGCCCCAGCCCGAACCAATCACATGAATAGCACCCCGCATTTTAGGAGAAAAATAAATATATTTATGCTTTTTTTTAGTCAAACACTTTGGATAACACTTGAACAAAATTTAAGACCTTGTAAAAACATGATCAAGACTTTTCAATACTTTTTAAGATCATTAATGTTCTCATAATTGATTTATCAACTTTTAATCAATTTTAAGACCCCACAGACACACACACACACACACACACATATATATACACACACACACACACACACATATATGTATATACGTGTGTGTGTGTGTGTATATATGTATATATATATATATATATATATATATATATATATATATATATATATATATATATATATATATATATATATATATATATATGTGTGTATACACACACACACACACACACACACACACACACACATATATACATATATATATATACATACATAATTTTTTTTTAAACGTCAACTACAGTGGTGCAAGCTAAATTTGTCGATAAAATGTCAATTATTTTATAAAATAAAATATTTAGTTTATAAAATAAAATTATTTGAAAGAGTAATGACACTTAATTACACATTTAAATGACAAACACGGTTAGTCTCACTGAAAGAAGTGATCAGAAAATTATTTATGACAATTAAAATGGCCTCATTTCTATTATGCTTTTTACAGATTTATGACACGTTTTGTTGTCTTGGTAATATCAAGTTTTGATGTATTTGTTTGTGTCAAGTTGTCATAACAAATCAATGTCATCTTTGGATTTAAAAACATCATAACTGAGCAAATGACACTTAATAATGTAATAAAATCATGCCATGTGTCATGTCCTGATTATAACGGTTTCATGATAGCCTTATGAGCAACCAAGTGTTACAAATCATTCTTAATTCCCACCAAACAGAAAGAAATAAAAACGTTTTCCAGAAGAAATGTATAATTACTATGAAACACATCGAAAAATCCATTAAAAATCACTTGTGAGATATTTAAAAACCAATTCAAATTTCACAGGAGGGCTAACGTTAATCCTGTTGAACATTTTTAGTTTGGGATTTTGAAGTCAATTTCCTGACATCATGATGAGATTCACCCTTATGCAAGACAGCAATATAAGACCAAAATTAATCTAATCTCGCCGTTTACGACTCGAATGCAAATTTCATTGATCTGAAATGTAGATTCAAACAAAACGCCACAAAACAAGAGAGTGTATTTACGGTGCAATAAAAGTGACTTGAATCATTAAAGCACATGTCTAAAACTGTGACAAATCCAGCAATATTCCAGTGGATCCAGAGAAACGCAGCAGAGAGCGAAGCGTGGATTGTGCTATTCACCGTTTAATGGAAAAGAAGAAGAGCAGCGTCTCCGTCTGTCGATCAGAACTGATAGAAAACATCCAAGGTATAAAGTAAAGCCCCGAAGCGAGCAAACTACACACCTTCTGACACGTGTAAAGAAGAGCTAAACTCAAGGAAATACTGGGGAGAGGAAAAAAAAAATAAAAGCAGAAATATTTAACATTGTCAGCACACGAAAAGCTCCTCGCCGGGGCTCTGGATGCTACCAACAATGACCACAATACAAGTAAGAGTTTAAGTCATGCGAGTGCCACAGGTTTCAACGTCATAGAAAAAAAACGTAGGTACTTTTAAAGCTGTGTGTGTGAACGTGCAGCGTGTGTGTGTGTGTGTGTGTTTTCTGTGAAAGCAAACACATTCGTCATCCTTCAAAGCGGTGAAGCTACCGAATGATTTCCACACTAGCTGCGGTAAACTCCTAACATAGGTCAATATATAGAAACAGCGGTAGTACTTTTTTTTAATCAGCAAATATTTCCTTTCCTTCTATAGCGCTTACCGACGAACATGAAAATCCCGGTTGTGCTTGATAGACAAAACTAAAACTTTTTTTTTCTTTTTTTTAAATTATCATTATTTATTCTAAAATACTTTTATCTAGTTTTCGTCTCTCGTTCCGAACTTAAATCCACCAGGCAGGCGTCTTCAAAAATATAGATTCTCAACCCGAGCGATAAAATAAGAGTATCAGTTCCTATAAATCGGCGCTCTCGAATCGTCCATCTGAAAATGGTCCCTCCGTCGAGTGGTCTCAGGACGGAAAGTCAACAGAGCCGTGTGTGTGTGTGTGTGTGTGTTTTGGTAAAGAGTGGCACCAGTTTTCGTCACTGTTTTCTGTCCACCGGCTGCTTCAAACACAGTTCACTGCCCGCAGACACGATTGGCAGGTTGTTGTCACGGTGATGGCCAATCAGGTGGCTTATGCTCTCGAATATGTGATCTTTCGTCCGAACCTTCGGGAGACATAAAGGAAAAGGATTAGATTAAGCACATGTGGCTGAAAGATGATTAAATATATTACACTTTAATTCAGTAAACAAATGCATTCAATTGATCAAAAGTGAGTGTAAAGACATTTGTATAATAATACTGTCCCTTTTGATCTTTTTATACATCAAAGAATCCTGAACAATGTAAACAGCGTATGGGTGTTTTTAGAAAAATATGAAGCAACTTCAAAAACCAAACAACATAAAATAACAAATAGATTCTTGAGTATTGAGATTATATTAATATACTGAGTATTATCAATATATTATTGCAGTTCTGGTCAATATTTTTAGTTTTTTATAATCAGTCATTTTATATATATATATATATATATATATATATATATATATATATATATATATATATATATATATACTAGGGATGCAACAATACATACCTCGGTTTTTTAACACTGTTTTCGGTTCGGTTCTCATGGCTTGACACGTGTTTTTTATTTTTTATTTTTATTCTATAGGCAATAGGAACAGTAAGAGGTTAGGGAGAAAAAAAATAAAAACGATTTATTGCAATACTCATTTTGTTTTACTTAAAAGCCAAGAAGAGTACAGTAGTTCCTAGTCTATTGTATACAAAAAATAACACTGAAATCTCACAGCTGCTGGTAGCCCATGTACAAACTGGGGAACACATAAAATCCTACACTTCAAAAATAAACATACATGTGAAGTTCATTCATTCATTCATTCATTTTCTTGTCGGCTTAGTCCCTTTATTAATCCGGGGTCGCCACAGCGGAATGAACCGCCAACTTCCGCAAACTATCCAGCTAGTTTTTACACAGCGGATGCCCTTCCAGCTGCAACCCATCTCTGGGAAACATCCACACACACACACACACACTCATAACCTCTGGATAATTTAGCCTACCCAATTCACCTGTACCGCATGTCTTTGGACTGTGGGGGAAACCGGAACACCCGGAGGAAACCCACGCGAAGGCAGGGAGAACATGCAAACTCCACACAAACACTAACTGAGCCAGTTTGAACCAACGACCCAGCGACCTTCTTGCTGTGAGGCGACAGCACTACCTACTGCGCAACTGCCTCGCCTACATGTGAAGTTAATAAAGATAAATTGGCTGTTTCAAATAAACATATTTGTACTTCAGTAAACATAAATAAGCCATCTTAATTATCTCGGTGCTGGAAAAATGCCAGACTGTAGTCTGTAACGCGGATCGAGTGTTTTTATAAGATGACAAAAGCCCACATCTCCAATCACAAAGAACGGCTGCAAATCCTTTCTTAAATGCCTTTCTTATTTTTATGTGTCTCTCGGAGCCAGTTATGTTCGCTTGAAAGATTCAGCGAGGGATTGTTGCTTTTTGGAGGACTTTATTACCTTCTCTGCTAATCTGCCTTCAGACAGTGACATTGCTGGGTGATGGCAGTCATGGTTATACGTGTAAAACAATGCTTGCACACAGTTATTTTTTGTTTACTGTTTTTTTTTTTTTAACATTATACTTACCGAAATATCCTCACACCACAGATTAGAAAGACACCGGCGCTTTCTCAAACTGTTGCCTCACTTCACCGCCGCTCGCAATGTTAAAGTGTGGAATGATGGTCAAGCGCACCCTAACTTTAGAGCATAGTGATTGGATATTAACTCGCAGGGAGGAGTTACCTCATCTGAGCTCATGGATTTAGAGTCACACACAGTCAATTCAGGGAGATATACAACGTACATAAATTATTTAAACGCAAAACCGAAAAAAACGCAATTCACAAGCGTGTATTAAACCGTGGAGGTCGTACCGTACGGTTCAATATTATATTAAGAACCATGGCATCCCAAGTATATACCTACACTACTTGATAAAAGTCTTGTCGCCTATCTAAGTTTTAGGAACAGCAAATAATAAGTTGACTTCTAGTTGATCATTTGGTATCCGAAGTGGCTTATATGAAAGGCAAAGGCCTCTAGATTACGTTTATTTGAGCACAATAAAATATGATCATGTATTGATTTTAATTATTTAATTTGGACAGTAAGGTCTGACTTTGCTTAGACAAAAGTCTTGTGAATGAACAGAAATAATGTCCAGTATAGAATATAAAGTCCTGCTGCAGTGGAGACAGAATGAATATTGTGTCTGACTCCATCATGAGCTTGGAGGACTGCATCATACATCTCTGACATGACTCACATCACTGATTAATAAAGTCATCTGGAATGGCAAAGAAAGCGTTCCTGCAGGACTCCCAGAGCTCATAAAGAGTCTTTGGATTCATCTTCAATGCCTCCTCCTTCTTACCCCAGATATGCTCAATAATGTTCATGTCTGGTGACTGGGCTAGCCAATACTGGACTACCTTAACCTTGCTTTCAGGAATTTGATGTGGAGGCTGAAGTATGAGAAGGAGGGGGGCGCTAATAAGTCTGACTTTAACTGTATAAACCTTTACGACCTGTCTCAGAGTGTGTGTATGAGTCCTTACCGTGCCCTCAGGGTCGACCAGCAGCAGGTGTTTGGCGAGGCCGTTGTGCATCCCCGTCAGGACGTACGAGCCCGGGTTTGTGGTGCTCTTGCGCACCAGGAAGTCTCCGTCGTGCAGCAGCAGTTTCTCAGCCTGCCGGCGGCTCATCTCTCCGTGGTACCAGCGTTGGTCCTCCAGCTCCTCGTGGGCACGCAGGGCAGCGGCTCGCATCAGCAGAGGACTGGAATTATCCACCGACGCCGCTTTATGAAGCTCTGATGCTGCAGGAGTCTGGGTCATGATAGCGTCCTCAAACGGCTCTGAAGAAACACAAAAATTTCATGGCTTAGTGGATCTATGACTGCGTCCAAAATTGCATACTTCAAGACTATAAAGTACACTAAAAACAGTATGTGAGTAGTATGCCCGAATTTATAGAAATCGATAAACAGTATTTGAGAAGTGCCCTGATGACCTACTACTTCCAGCGAGATTCTGAAGTGTACGCTATATATCATGATGCCCCGTGGGTGAATTCATGAAAGTCAGTGAGGCAATGCAACTGATGTGGGTAGGTCACTTGGTCATGACAAAATGGCGGATGTAGTACCTACTAGCAATCACAATTTGAATATATATATATATATATATATATATATATTCAATATATCCAATATATAATATATATCCAATATATATATTAGTGCTGTCAAAAGTAGTGCGTTAACGCATGCAATTAATTTGAAATAATTAACGCGTTAAAAAAATTTACGCAATTAACGCAGTTGGAGTTTTTTTATTTTCTGTTGTAGCCGTGGTGTGTTCAACATGTAAAGAAATATGGATAAGACCAAGGAAGCGCTTTATAAGGCAAGTTTCAGTATAAAATAATTAATGTTGCATTACCAGGCTCTCCAGCGTTTCCTCCGGAGTTTCATCTAATTTCGTATGTTTCATTTTTAACTTTTGACTTTTGTTTTAATGGAATTTGATACCGCACGATGAACGGAAAGAAAAACCTCCGCATTCCGTGACTCGGTGGTCCTTTAAAGTAATCAAAAATCGCTGTTTTTACATGGTAGACTCTTAATTAGAGTATTATCTTAATAATATTAAAATCAGAGTATTGGTGTCCATGTAAATGAAGTGCCAGATGAGCTGTCAAAGTCAGTGCATTCCTCTGTCTTTCAGCATGAGCCCTCTAATGTTTCATTAAGTTTGATGTGTTTCTTGCTTTAACGCAAGTTTTGTAAAGTGTATGCTTTGCGTTGTTGTGTCAGAATCCTTGCTTGTATCCAGTAATCCTGCTTGTGATCCTGCCTGTTCTCACTCTCAGCTCACATCATTTAAAACAAAAGGTCCACATTGTTCCCTGATAATGTCAACAGACTGAACTGTCTTCTGACTGAATGTAAAGGCGGACTAAGCAAAATTGTTTCTGCTTTATAATTAATGTTCTCAACACACAGCAATACAACTTTACAATGAGTATAATTGTTTGTATTCGATACTTTATTATTATTATAATTTTCCATATTTGCAATGCCTGTATTTTGGCATTTTCTTGCAGTCCACTTAGAACTTGGAAATCCTTGTTTTCTTTATTGGCATTGAATGTTTTGAAATTTAAATGTCATTAACATGCCTGTGTTTTAATTCCTGTGATAAATATGTCTGTCAAGCCAAAATCTTGATGGTTTATTGTAGGTATGTTGTTTACATGAAGAAATCTGTGTTACAAGTAAAACAAAAATTCTAATAATGAATTATATTTTGAATTTAAATAGTTTTGTCTTGTTTTTACATTAATTTTTACATTTAAATAGCCAAAATTACAAGTTTCAGTCTTTTTAATGTGATTAATCGTGATTAATCTTAATTAATTTTCAAAACAGTGTGATTAATTATATATATATATATATATATATATATAATTTAATTAAATGTTCTCCTCCTACAAAGATAGTGGGGCCATCTTTGGGGTCATCTGAAAGCAATTGTCTATGGTGTGATGATACAAGATGTGCAGCACCTGAAACTATACTGGAAGCCTGTGCTGGCATTTCTCTTGCTCTGTTGCTATCAGTGTGTGTAGAGTGGGAGAAGAGCGTTGCATTGACAATCCAACACAATGGGCAGCACATTGAACACATTTTATAAGTGGTCAGAAACTTGTAAATAACTCATGAAAGAATAAAGTTACCAAGCACACCATTGTTTTGTGAAATTCCCAATGAGTTTGTTGTGTCACATGACCCTCTTCCTATTGAAAAAGCAAAAATTGGATCAAAGATGGCCGACTTCAAAATGGCCACCATGGTCACCACTTATCTTGAAAAGTATTGCCCCCTCACATATACTAATGTGCCACAAACAGGACGTTAATATCACCAACCATTGCCATTTTATTAAGGTGTATCCATATAAACGCTCCACCCTGTATATAAACATAGTTAACCTGTGGTTACATAGATAAAGGTGATGTCTATGTGTACATGTGCAATTAAGTATATTGGTATTGACAACTATTACCATATTTTGGTAAATATAGCATTGGCCGATCACCTAGTTATGATGCTTTAAAATCAGCTTGAAATCAAAAGTTTCCATATCTATGTTGCTACCGCACATCGTTATTCTTAAAATGAATAATTAATTCATGCAAGTTAACCCACTGAAAAAAATCCTTTGTTTTGTTAATCTTCAATCAAAGTCTGACCATTTGCTTATGCATTTGGAGAATATGCAACTGTATATTAATAACCCTCTTACCATTAGTTTGCTATGAGGGAATGATGCACAAAAAGAAAGCCCCGCCCCCTACTTAATATTCAATTTCAGCTGGAAGCACATCAACATACTGAAATAAAAGTCTCAGCAACTTCCGGTACATGCAGACTTTAGACATGTAAATCTCTGTACAGAATGAATCCTCTGTGCTCTTACTCATGTCGAAGAGGTCTTTCCTCGGGCTGTCTTTGGGAGCCCCAGTCGTGCTCGAATCTGCATTGGTCTCTGTTTCTGCCTGCAGGGCTGCCAAAACCTGCGTGTCGATATGCTGCGTGTTCACATACGTGGGCACTTCTCCAGCTTTAGGAGGCTGAGCTTTGACCTCAGGGAGACTGTAGATGTCACATGACCCTAAATAAAAGACACACAGACAGAAGATGTTTCAATCTGAAACAGTCTGATGCTTACACTTCTTCATTCAGCAGATATTTTTATTTGTTTCCTTTATTTAGCCAGGAGATCACATTGAGACAGTACTATCTATTCCTCCAGTGAGACCTGGTCAAAATGGCAACAAATAAAGTCTCACAAAAAAATAAATAAATCCCAGAAAACAATACCACAAAATTGTTAAATCACGATTCATAAAAATATCAGAACATAATAAACAATTACACTGCAAAAAATGCTTTTCTTACTTAGATTTTCTGTCTTGTTTCTAGGCCAAATATCTAAAAATTCTTATTTCAAGAAGCATTTTCTAGGCAAGCAAAACATATTGGGCTCTATCATACACCCGGTGCAGTGTGGCGCAAGACGCGGCGCAATAGACTTTTGCTAGTTTCAGCTTGGCGCAAGAGTGGTTTTGAGGCGTTGCGCTACACTGTTTAAATAGCAAGTGCATTAGCGCTCATTTGTGCGCCCATAGGCGTTCTGGTCTAAAAAGGAAGGCGTTCTGAGGTGGGCCGCTGGCGCGTTGCTATTTTGAGAAACTATAATAGATTTTTCATTAAACTAAAACTAACCCGGTCTAAACTCCAGCGCAGAGTTGCACCTCGCTTACACACTGCTTAATACACACAAGAGAGCAATAGGCAAATATCTTTACATATGAAAACATTTCAATATTAAGGATATATATATATATATAGGATATAATAAGAATAGATATAGGATATAAATATAAAGAATTAAAATATTACAAAACACACTATTTTCTAGCCTACATAAATATGAAAAATCACTGCTTTTATGTCTTTTTCATCTCGGGAGGCTTTTTCAGTTCATTCATAACAATTTGCTTTTGTATAATGTTATTATTATTAGCAGTATTATTTATTATATCCATATTTATATTTGTTTCATTAAAAACAAGCTTAGATTTGTCCATCTGTCAGGTTTTAGACCATATGGGGCACAGCATGTGTTTTAGGTTATAACTCAGGTTTTTGAGCACATTTTGTTATTATTGTTCATTTATTCGTATGCTAGAAATTAGAACTGAATTTAGAAATAGTTTTGAAACAAATCTTTGCGCTTAACAAACAAAATTAATTATTTATAGACTAATTGATGTCTGTGCGTAAAGGTTTCCCTATCCAAGAGCGAAAGTGAAAGTGATCCATTATCTCTCATTCTTGCGCAGTAGATGCTCTGTTTAACTGTTTTCTGTTAAAAAAAAAACTGTCAACTGTTAACTATTTGCTTGTGAAATGCTCATTTTTTCCACTTAGACTTACTTTGCGTCCTGTAAATAGTGAATGCGCTCTTGGCGCGACGCAGCTGACTCTTAAAGGGAATGGGAGATGAGACTTTAATTGGTTTATTCTCAAAACACACCCATAACTCATTAAGAAAATAAACTCAACCCTTTTAGACCATGCGCTGCGGCCTTAAATTAGCAAAAACGCGTCCTGACACACCCGGGAAGCATTTGCGCACTGCGTTTTGCACTCTGCGCATGGACCGTCAAAATAGAGCCCATTGTCTTGTTTTCAGAAATAATATGGCAATTTTAAATGAATTTTTCCTTAAAACAAGCAAAATAATCTGCCAATGGGGTAAGCAAAATAATCATGTTTTTCCTTTAGACCAGGGGTCACCAAACTTGTTCCTGGAGGGCCGGTGTCCTGCAGATTTTTGCTCAAACCCTAATCAAACACACCTGAACAAGCTAATCAAGCTCTTACTTGGTATACTTGAAACATCCAGGCAGGTGTGTTGAGGCAAGTTGGAGCTAAACCCTGCAGGGACACCAGCCCTCCAGGACCAGGATTGGTGACCCCTGCTTTAGACACTTGTTTTAAGGAAAAACTCACTTCATTTTGGCATTTTATACCTTAAAACAAGACAGTGTGTTTTGCTTGTCTAGAAAATTCTTCTTGATTTAAGAGTTTTTAGATATTTGGACTAGAAACAAGACAAAAAATCTAAGTAAAAAAAACATTTTTTGCAGTGTACAAGTATCCTTTAAGACGTTATGCAGAAGATGTTTAAAGTCGGAAGTGTGTCGAGATTAAGCCGATTTTGTAAAATGCTCTTATACAAAGTGGCCAACCAAATGAGGGCGGCAGGATCATGTCAAAAAGCAACAATATCATGTGATAAGTCTGGTTAGTTTAGTCTATTTTAAAACCCTTTTCTCGTCTGCGGAGTCTACAGTATTCATTTGTGCATCATAAAAATCAACATTTATTATGCTTTTGTTCGCTGATTTTATCTTCGGCATGTTCGACTTGAAAACTTTAATGCCGGGCGGCTGCTTCTCACTCAGGGGTGTTATTAAGTCACTATAATGGGCGGGGCTTTCCTCCTCTGATTACACGAACAAAAGGGAGAATGACAATCAAAGTGTTTCTGCAGACTGTTTTTATTAAGTCTGATTATAAATTAAAAAAATAATACATTTTTACCATTACAGGTTGGTTTTACTCACACACTGTTGCTACACAACTGTGTTTAAACCCTTTATAAAAGTAATTTTTGCATAATAAGTGCCCTTTAAAATTGATTTTATATCACCATAATCAAGTTTACCTTAGGAAGACAGTCTCTACAAGTTAATTTTGTTATTAAACATACAATTAAATGTTTTTTCTAAATAAAAGCCAAGCTTCAGTTTGAGCTACCTGATTAAATTAGAAATATAGATATTTTATGAATATTGTATTTAGGAAATCATAAATGTTTTAATTTGCTACTACTTATGTGCATTTAGATATCTGAAACCAAAAATAAACATTATGTGATTAAAAACACACACACACACACAAAGATTTATGACTGATTTATCCGAGTATAGTGTCTATAAATCACTAAATGGCCTAGCACCTCAATACATTACAGATATGCTCACTGAATACAAACCTAACAGATCACCCAGATCTTTAGGAATATATGAATTAGAAATTCCAGGAGTTCAGTCAAAGCAGGGTGAATCAGCCTTCAGCGACTAATAGCGCCCCCTGCTGCTGGAATCAGCTTCCAGAAATAATCAGATGTGCTCCAACATTAGCCATGTTCACATCAAGTCAGAAACACGTGTGTTTAGCTGTGCCTTTACGCATCGAGCACTGTGCTACGTTCGACAGATCGCACTATTATGTCCTTCTTTTTTTGTCATTCCTTTAAAATCTGTTTAACACAATTAAACTGTTTTTAATCATTTTTATTCTTTTAATCGTTTTAATATTCTTGTTTCTTTTAGTAAAGCACACTGAATTACCATTGTATATGAAATGTGCTATATAAATAAACTTGCCTTGATTTTCGACACTGATCTAGTGATGCATTTACATCAAAGTAAGAATATACATCAAAGGGTTAAACAAACAAAAACAAATGAAGGTCAGTTTTTTTGTCCAGTGCAGAAGTGTTTTCTGTGGTCCAAAATATAGAAACAAAGGAAATTAAAGTTCACTGCACCTTGCTGGATGAACATGGGTCGGCCCTGGTAGTAAGTTTGATCCACTCCTGCACCCTGCGTGAGAAAACAACAATTATGGAACACCTCATCATCATCATCATCATCATCATCATCATCATCATCATCATCATCATCATCATCATCATATTGATCTAGACTGCTGGGGTCCGTTCTTCGTATGTGGATTACTCAGTTAGCTGCATTTGGTTATTGACGTTTTGACACGATCCAGGGTCGTTTCGTTCTTCAAACCTGATCCGAGAGTTGTTGTCATAGCAACAGTTCCGGTAGCTCAAACCTGGTTGGGAGCAGGCTCATTTTATATAAACAAGATTAGATCGGGTCAGTTCAAGCAAAGCAATTACTGAAAGTATGTACCGAATTCTGATATTTTCTTACAGTAGTAGTTATATACACTTGGGAAATGTTTTATATATATATATATATATAAATATATATATATATATATATTGTTTTGAAAATCAAATAGCACTAACATGCCTGTGTTTTAATTTCTGTGATAAATATGTCAAGCCAAAATCTTGATGGTTTATTGTAGGTATGTTGTTTACATGAAGAAATCTGTGTTACAAGTAAAATAAAAATTCTAATAATGAATTATATTTTGAATTTAAATAGTTTTGTCTTGTTTTTACATTAATTTTTACATTTAAATAGCCAAAATTACAAGTTTCAGTCTTTTTAATGTGATTAATCGTGATTAATCTCAATTAATTTTCAAAACAGTGTGATTAATTAGTTATATAAAATATATATATATATATATATATATATATATATATATATATATATATATATATATATATATATATATATTAATAAATATTGGGGGAGGCAGTGGTGCAGTAGGTAGTGCCTCACAGCAAGAAAGTCGCTGGTTTGAACCTCGGCTCAGTTGGTGTTTCTGTGTGGAGTTTGCATTTTCTCCCTGCCTTCGCGTGGGTTTCCTCCGGGTGCTCCGGTTTCCCCCACAGTCCAAAGACATGCGGTACAGGTGAATTGGGTAGGCTAAATTGTCCGTAGTGTATGAGTGTGTGTGTGTGTGGATGTTTCCCAGAGATGGGTTGCGGCTGGAAGGGCATCTGCTGAGTAAAAAAACTTGCTGGATAGGTTGGTGGATCATTCCGCTGTGGCGACCCCGGATTAATTAAGGGACTAAGCCAACAAGAAAATGAATGAATGAATGAATTAATAAAACTTATGCAATCTGCACCCCCAAAATGAAAGTACACAGACTGCCACCTGGTGGTGCAAAGAGAAATCTTACTGATATTAACTTTTTACATCGCTTTAGTACAATTTGTGTATGATAACAGACATGCACAATATGTGACTTTTTAAAAGCAATAACATATTTATGCAGTCATAAACATGTTTTGACAGTTAATATGACGGTGACTTGATGCTTCACAAAAGTTGCAGACGCCTTTACCAATATGAAAATGTTTCTGTAAACATCCTGTTATTCTTTACACCGATTTAAAAAACGGCTACTATAATACTACTATGGCTACCATAATAAGGAACATCCGCTCTAACTGTAAAACTAAATAAATTGCTCTTGACACATGAAAGGGCCAAGCATGCTGCGCACAACAAGGTGTAAAGTTATTGTGTGTCATATTTATCAAACCGTTTACTGCTAATTTTATGTAATTTTGCTCACATGGATAATTGAATATTAATCAGATGATGTCATTACGCTGCTGTGCCGTCAGCCAATCGTTGCATTGCTGATCATGATTTCGAGGATGGATAGATCTGTCCTTCACAACACACGCAGCGATCTCAGATGATTACTCACCAAAACAAAGACAGAAATACATGATGTGCAGATTCAGAAAGAACTGATCTGGAGTGATTACCAGTCAGCTGGTAAAAATAGTTGCTAAGTGGGCGGGTCATTACCTGGCTGCTGTCTTGCGACTGATTGGTCAGCCTGGCGTCGATGAATCCTCCAGGCGGCGGCATCTTTCCAGGGATGCTGTTATAATAGTGATGATCTGCGGTCTCGTCTCCTTCCTCCGTCCAGGGCGGCTCGTCTGTACTCATGACTCTACAGAGAGCACAGAATAAGTGTTCGCAGTCATCTTTGGCTTCAGGCTCCTGGGCTACAACTGAAATCGCATACTTCCATACTATAAAGCACGCTAAAAACTGTATGTGAGCTGAGTAGCATGTCCGAATTCATCCATAGTATTGGAAAAACAGTATGTGAGAAGTAAACAAATACTACTTCCTGCAAAGAGCATAGAATCACCAAGAGGTGACACTCTAGTGCAATTTGGGAAACAGCCACTAGATGGCACAGCGGCCATTTTAGAATGAAAACCCCAATAGAATAACAGCATATTAAAAGTCTGTAAAATAAACTATTAAAAGTGTTGTTGATTATCATAGTAAGTGCTGTATTGTCGTCTTTCAGGTAGTATCTCAGCTTAATGGGCTTTTTAACTAAATAAATAAAAAACTTGCTTGTGATCGCGATAGCAATAAGATCCAATGGACGGCCGATCACTTTCACTCCAAAGTGCCGGAATCCGGAGCTGTTGCTGGGCGCTGCTGTTGCAATGGAACGTTCTATTGAGTGTCGCCTCTTGGTCATTCTAAGCTCTTTGCTTCCGGTGAAATTCTGAAGTGTATGCACCGCGGGAGAATACACGAATGGGAGCGAAACAACACAATTAACGTGAGTAGGTCACGTGATCATGGCAAATGGCAGATAAAGTACATTAGAGATCCATACATACTAATCACATTCATACTATAGAGAACATAGTTTCTAATGATTGTGTAGTAAATTTAAGTTCAAATGTAGTACCTGATGGACCAATACACTGCAAAAAATATTTGTAAATTAACAGTCTATTTCCATATTTGATGATTGATGGCTTTCACTTTTTTTGATGTTGAAAAATTTAAAAGGTGACATATTTAATAGCTTAAAATTTGATTGTAAGTATATGTGATGTAAATTATGGTACTTTTTCATTCATTCATTTTCTTTTTGGCTTAGTCCATTTATTAATTTGGGGTCGCCACAGCGGAATGAACCACCAACTTATCCAGCATATGTTTTACGCAGCAGATGCCTGGTACATTTTCTGATATTTTAATTGACGTATTTCTCTCTATATTATTTCTTAAACAACATCATAGACTCTTGTCATACACCCAGCGCAAGATATGCTTAGTATTTGCTTTAATTAAAACAAGTTAAGATTTGTCCACCTGTCGCTTTTTTAGAAGTATGCATCACCATTGGGGCATAAGAACAGGACGTGTGTTTTTATATAACTTTTTGACCACACTTCATTATTATCGTTTATTTATTCGTTTGCTTGAGATTAGCACTGAATTTAGAAATAGTTTTGACACAGATCTTTGTGCTTAACAAATGAAATTAAATATGTGGGCTAATGGATGTCTTCAGTGGAGTGAGTTTCCACTGTTTCCTTACTCCACCAAGGTAAATGAGTAAAGTAATGAGTAGTAGTAAAGAGAAAGTAAAGAGGCTGAATGGAGGAGGCTCGTTCTTTATTCTCGCGCTGCAGATGCTCTGTTCAACTGTTTTCTCTCTAGTGAAGTATTCAGTTTTTCCACTTACAAAATCCACCATGTAAATAGCAAATACACTATGGCACGACGCAACTGACTCTTAAAGGGAATGAGAGGTGAGACTCTGATTGGTTTAATGCACGTTATGCTCAAAACACACCCAGAACTCATTAAGAGAATAGACACAACCCTGTTAGACCATGCACTGCGGTGCAGTGTATTTTTCCTTCCTTAAAATAGCAAAAGTGGATTCAGACATGCCCTAAAAATACTTTTGTACCATGCGCTTTAGACTTTGCACATATATCGTTAAAATAGAGCCTCATGTCTCTAATTAAAATGCCAATAAAAGTCACTTTGTTCATCTACAGTGTTGAATTTTCAATATCATTTAACAGAGTGGAGCAGACCATAATGCAATTCACAACTGTAAATAAACAGAACACACCATGTGAACCACAAAATACAGAACCTGCTAATTGACTGATATTTTTTACAGTGTAGGCAATTTGGGACGCAGCCCTGTTGTGCTTGCATGAACTCACCTGTCGTGAATGGACGAGGGTTTGCTGGAGGGACACTGCAGGTAGAGCTGAAAGCGCAGGTCAAACGCCTGACCGATCGTACTGATCACGTCCTGAGCCAGACCGTCAGAGCATTCCAGAATATGACAGGCTGAAAATAATAATAATTAAAAAAAAACATCAATTCAAGAAAATCAATTGTGCCAGAAGAAAGCATTTACTGCAAACTAAAAATGTATTGTGAATTAAATGTTTTAAATTTTTTTTTATTAGAAAATGTTACTTCATTTGTCATAGTTTTTTTTATTATGTCCATTTAGTTTTTATACATTTTTTATTATTTTTGTTGTTTTAATGCATCAATTTATTGCCTTGCAAATAGCTAAAATAAGGTAAAATAAAAAGTTACACTTTTATACAATCATGTATATTGTATATTCTTTATATTGTATAATGATGGTTTGTTCTGTAGACAGTCGAAAAAAAAAATAGCTTAAAGTGGCTAATAATTTTGTCCTTAAAATTGTGTTTAAAAAATTAAAAGCTGCTTTTATTTGACCCGAAATAAAACAAATAAGAAAGAGAGGAAAAAATTCAAAGGGGGCTAATAATTCTGACTTCAACTGTATGTATATATATATTCATATATAAAGGAGTAAAGAGTAAACATAAAAATATACACACACACACACACACGACTAGCAGTGCGATATGGCTGTATATGTCAAATGTGCGTTGGCACTGCGTTTTTCTACTCTAAGGGCTTATTATGTGGTCTCTGTGTCTATCTTGTGGTGGAACGTCAACTGTCTTTGCTCTGCTCAATATGACAGGCTGATGGCAGCCGACGCGCTGTATCTCCAAAATTAAAATAGGCACTATCCTTATAAATAAACTGCATAGTTGCAATCTAAACAACTATATTCTCGCCTAAAAAAAGCCTCAAAAGAACATTATGTTGTTCAGCAGCAGCAATATTTGTCAAATTGTAGAGAGTTTATTGATCTGCTGTCACTTTATGAAGGCGGAGTAATACACAAGAGTGAAGAGGCTGTACAAGTGCTGTTATGCAGAATATTGCACAGATATAAGCCAATCAGATTTGAGAACCAGACAGGACAGTTGTATAAGTATATATAATGTGCATGTATATGTGTGTGTGTGTGTGTGTGTGTGTGTGTGTGTGTATGCACTGTGCTCATTTATGTTGTGTATATCTAATAAAAAGTATATACAAATAAATATATATGTGGATAGTTTGTTTTTGTATTTTATATGTTTTATTATACACACTATACATAGTGAGTACACACATTATGTAAGTTTTTATTTCGGATGCAATTGATCGTTTGATAGCACTAATACACACACACAACTTAACAGCAAATCTGCGCACTCACACCAATAATAATTACCAATAATTACTTAATAATAATTACTTAAGTTACTCACACACATTTTTTGTTCATCTGAAACCAAACGATTGTTCTAAAAGAGATTTTACGTTAATATAAAACTATTTCACAGTTCTCAGTGATTGATTAGGGTCACATAAAAAAACAATAGATAATAGACACTCTTAACCTGCATTACATGTTTAAATTCAAACAGAGAAGAAATCAAAAGCATAAGAGGCATGCATTCAGAAGTATTAAATATCAGCATATGGGCAAACGGATGGCGATCTGCTGACTTGCTCCACTGTACAGTGTCCAATACGGCATCTTTCCTCAGACAACATAGAAAACGCATTAGAAAGTACAGCGAGAGTTTTCAAACGTGGCCTCTGCACCGACAGGAAGTTAAAAGATCCATGAAATGAAAAGAGAGGCAGATACAACAGCCACAGAGATTGATTTTCTGATGCTAAATGTGGCCGTGGTGAACGGATCAATCATGCTTGTGTGTGAATGCAATGTTACAGCGAGACCAACACTATGAAAAGGCCCTCAGGAGCCATAGGGATGAAACTGTGGTTCACCAACAAGAATTTAATGTGAGCTATGAAGCGTCCAACATAAAACACTGCACACTTTGAGTTAGGGCTGCATGATATTGGAAAAAAATATGATTTGTTTTGCACTGATATGAATGTAATTTCACTAGATGACTTGAATAGCTTAAATTTTAAAGATTTCATTCATTTAGATCAGTGGTTCTCAAACTGTGGTACGTGTACCACTAGTGGTACGTAGGCCGCCTTCTAGTGGTACTCGGAGGAATGAAATATGTCATGTACATGCTACACGCATTAAAAAAATTATCAAAAATGATCTATATAATATGCCATATATGACATATAGCCTATATTCCTAATATAGGCTATATGTCATATAGCTGCCACGTTTGCCACATTTTTTTTTAAGTGTGCAGAGGCGTAGCTGCTTTACTGGGGCTACTTTTGTATTTCAATACTGCTCATTTTGGTGGTACTTGGAGAGATATTTTTTTTCTGAGGTGGTACTTGAGGAAAAATGTTTGAGAACCACTGATTTAGATTGACTGGGGTTATCAAATCTTTTTTCTATGCAGTGCATCTGCATAAAACTGAAGGCTTCAGGTAGTATCCAGGACATTTTTGTGGTTTTAATATGGTTTTAAACCAAGAGAGTGTGTCTGTGCCTCAATTATCAGGAAGGCTATTCCAGAGTTTAGGAGCCATATATGAAAAGGCTCGACCTCCTTTAGTGGACTTTACTGCTATTCTGGGTACTAGTTTTTTAAATCAACTAAAACATTTTCAATAAATATCTGACTATTTACTTCTGTGTTGATTGGCGTTTTTTCTGTTGACGTCAATCTGAGGGTTTCCATAGCAACTGCATATTAATATCCTCTCTTACTGTAAGTTTGTTATGAGGGAACGATGCGCAAAAGAAAGCCCCGGCCCTAATCAATCTTTAGTTTCAGTTGAAAGTACATCAACAAGAAGTCTCAGCCACTTCTGGTTGACGTGGACTTTGACTAAAATCAGTGTGATGCAAACTACCCAAATAATTTTTGTAATCTTTGCTGATGTTAATATTGTAGTTAATGTCTTAAAACACAGTAAGATCAAAAGTCGGAATCATTTTGAATGATCTCACCAGAACACACCTCATGACAACCTCAACCCAAAGAAATTGTGAGTGTGCCTCAAATTAGAGGTCTGCATTCCTACTGCTGTACTGTGGGAGTTACAGGACCCGATCAGACTTCTTGCAGCGCGGAAACAAATGTCTAAATAAAGCACGGGAGCGGTCGGTAAGTGGTTTAATTTTGGATGGGAGCGAGCGGTCTAACAATATTGCTCCCGACTCCTGAGCGAGCGAGAACGCGAATGTATGTGTGTGAATGAGACAGCGTGATGCTGCGTTTAGCTTGTTTGTTGCTGTCTATGTGTGTGTGTGTGTGTACGAATGAGAGAGAGAGCTTTGTGCTGTCTCTCTCTCTCTCTCTCTGTGTGTGTGTATGTGTGTGTGTGTGAATGAGAGAGAGAGAGTGTGCCGCTGTCTGTGTGTGTGTCACTTGCTTGTGCTTATGTGTGTGTGTTTATACAGACAGCTTGTTATAGGCTGTCTTGACTCTGTATAGCTGGGTGATTTTCGGTATTGTTCCCCCCCGTCCATTAGCGGGAACGAGTGCAGCAGGTAGAAAACGAGGCGCGGGGGGCAGCGGGACAACAAATGCTGAATATAACGGGAGCGGCCAGGTTCGGGCTAAAACCTGGCGGGAGCAGGATTCAAAATTTAGTCCATCGCAGATCTCTACCTCACACAGGTGAGTGGGTTTGACTAACCACCTGTGCCTCCTCAATTGTAAATCGTTTTAGACAAAAGCATCAGCTAAGTGACTAAATTTAAGTTTTATTAAAGCAAGTTAATAACTAATAAAATGTAGTATTATTGTTTTATTCAGTTTAACATATGACTATATAACACGGGTATTTCCTAATTAGAAAACATTAACGTTTACTTATGTGACTTTATGAAACCTGTACATACAATAAAGCAATGAATTAAGTATGTTTTGGTTGCTGTGAAAAGTCCTCTTTTTTGCAGCTTAGGTCGATATCATGATGAAGCTTATACCGGCAGAACCCTAAAAAGAGATGATCATAGGAAAATACAGGTGTAATACCTCTCCGGTTAACAGGATCCTTGGCCACATAAGCGACGTAATCAGTCGTGTCCTGTTGACAGAAGAAAAGAGAGAGCGATTAACGTCCAAACTGAGCCAGTTCCACCTTTCATGTTTCTTTAAACACTTTATCAGGTAAAGAACCATCTAAAGTGACAAACCAAAATTATTAATCATACACTCTCAGAAAATGGGACAATGTTGGACCAAAGAAGGTACAAACCCTTGTCACTGGGGCAGTACCTTTTTATGGAACAGATTTGTACCTTAAGACAAAGAAACTAATGGCAGTTTGTACATTTAAAGACATGATTTGTACCATGGGAAACCACAATATACCTTTCGTTTTAAAACCTGCAGATACAATATTGCACCTTCATCAAAAGTACCATGAAGGGACCACTACAGTGACAAGACACTTTGTACCTTAACAGTGTCAAACGTGTTCCTTCAAGAACTATTTAAAGGCATTTTGCTTAATTTATTTTCAGTAAATTTAAAATATCAAATACATTTTAAACAATGTTTTTTTTAAAGTCTTTTTTTGTTTAAATGCACCTTTTCCATTGACAATAAAGAATAAAAAATACTTTACCCTCAATCAAAAGATCTACTGTTTGCTAAACATTCCACGACACCTTTCACAAAAATGTTACAGAAATGCATTCCCTCATCTACAATATAAAACTTTTTTTCTCCATTTTCACACAATTCTTTTGTAATCACTAAAAAGTTTAGTTAATTTCAAATTTTTTAAATAGAAATAGAATTATGCTAAATTATTGAAATGAGATATGCTCAATGTTTGATTAGCTTCACAATACTAAAATGTCTGCATGAGCACCCTGCATATGCGAGACTTTTGCAAATCACGTGTGTAGTGGAAAGCAAACAGCAATATTTAATTTTATTAGGCTTGGGCGGTATTATGGTATACCGCGGGATCTAAAAATAGCAACAGTGTCAGTTTCAATACCATTAAACCATCATAAAAAACAATGCACTTAAATAGGAGACAAGTATTAAATAATCAACATTATTTATTTAATGCCTAAAAATGTGTATGCGGGATTGTCATAACGGGACAGTGTGGAGGAGAGAGAGAGAGATAGAGAGGGAGAGGTGAGGTGGGGAGTCGCGCACCAAGTGACCTGCAGTTTGGCAGTATTTCCGGTTTCGACCGAACAAGAAAGGAGACGTGGTGAATACAAACTAGAGGTCTGCAACTAGAGGTCCGCAATTTCTGAATAAAGCGCGGAAGCGGTCGGTAACTCTGGTGTAATTTGAAAGGGAGCGGGCGCGCGGTCTAACAATATCGCTACCGAGCGAACACGCAGGCATCTGTGATCTGTGTGGATGCTGTTTGTGTGTGTGTGTGTGTGTGTGTGTGTGTGTGTGTGTGTGTGTGTGTGAATGAGAGAGAGAGCATGGTGCTGTGTGTCGCTTGGTGCTGTCTCTCTCTCTCTCTCTCTCTACGCGGGACGCTCTCTCTCATTCCCACACACACACACAGAGAGAGAGCGTCCCGCGTAGATCTCTAATACGAACAAGACAACCAGGTGACCACGAACCTAAGGTTGCATATACAATATTCAGTTTCTGAATGGTTTAGGCACAAGCCAACAGTTTGGTTATGCTGTCTGAGCCTTACGTCATCATTTTTTTTATTATGCACGGTAATACCGGATACCGATACCGGGAGAAGGTTTGACGGTATCAAAATTTGGATACCGCCCAAGCCTAAATTTTAAAGATTTTGTAATAAAGACGAGGTTATCCAACACTGTACGTTTTTAATAAGAACACTTGTGTACCTTCATTCCAGTTGTACTATAAAAGGTACAGAACAGTATCATAAGAGGTATTTTCTGTACCATAGAAGGTACAACTTTTACAAAGGTTCAAAATTGTTTCTTAAGGAACATTATTTGTACCACCTTGTACCTTTTTTTCTGAGAGTGTAACTATTTCATAACTGTGAGCTCATTACAATAAAAGCACCTCCATTCGCATATTAAATCTTAAGAGTCTCTCATTCAATTGTCATGATTATGACACAACAATAACTTCATAAACATAAGACCGCCCACATTTACATATTAAACCAGCAGATTCACTCATTCAGTTGTCAAAAGCATGATAAAACTATCTAGCAACTGTTTAGCCCATTAATATTACATTTATGTTTACATATTAAAACTAAAGTCATTAACTGATCTGTTTTAACTATATCTTAATTGTGAGTATTGTTGGGCGATGTTGACCAATTTGGCATCGTACGATGTCTAATGTGAAACATTGTAGTAGGTGGGGGGTTGGTGTGGTGGTTGTTAAATATCAATTAATTCATAACGAATGAATTATTTGTAGCCTAACGTTTTCTCTACCTGACCCACATGGTCTTTGCTTTACCCATAACCAAACCATAAATAAATATTGTTACAAACAAATGACCACCTGTCAATCACTTTTAGGCAGAGTGATCTGTGTCATTATAATGACTGTTCCCACAGCTGGTGAAGACGACGAGAGTTCGGTTGGAGTTTATTGTAGTGCATACATTTTCATTGTTTTCACTGCAAAATCCTCACTGTGTGCGCCAATTTAGGAGACATTTATGCAGAATGCATCTTTGCACCTTAAAACGCCAAACAAAGCGCTCAGGAACAGATAAACAGTTGTTATGTGAACTTGCTGTAGTAAAAAGCCTGCAGTGCTTGCCCCGCCTTTGTGCTCTTCTTATTGGCCCACTGCTCTAACTGAACATGAATGATTGGGTAATATCAGCTGTCAATCACTCAGTCAATGCCTTCCTGCCTACAGATGACAGGAGCTACAACCGCGAAAATGTGAAGCGCTGAAGATGAGAGAATGAAAACAACACTGACAGATTTACCTACAGTTACTAATAATGGCACATCTCATTAGTGATTATGTGCTGAATGTTAATCTACCATTAACACTTGTCCAAGAGTGGATAAAAGACTTCCAGTGGCTTCAAGTCCGCTATGTAAATGACTAAAGCCATTCACTGTAAAGTCTGTGGGACGGGGTTTGCAGGTAATAGCGTTTGCCACACATTTTAAGTATGAGAGGTGCTGTGTAGTCCTTCATTTAAAGGGTCACGAAACACCAAAACACATTTTTTGAGCTGTTGACAGGCGTATATGTGTCCCACACTGCTAAAAACACTATTAGGACACCTATATTTCACTAAAAAGTGTAAATTGGTTGTTTTTGCGTTGTTTCAAGCAAATTCGTACTTCCTGTTTGAAACTAATTTTTGAAGCTGCGTCACGGTCATGACATAATAGCGTGTATTCCAGCGTGCAGACTGGACGTCTGTGCCAGAGTGAGTCTTATTACGTCTTACAGTGTGTTGCATTAATGCATGAGTAAGGCTTGGTTCAAACCAATCAGCGCGCTCTATTGTGCAACTTCATTAATATTCATTACTGTCAGAGTGTAGACGGCAGAGACGCCACGTTGTGTTGGCAAAACAAGCGTGAAGTGTTGCTTTTATAGTTTGCTGCAGTTAAGTTTCGTTTTCATTTTCTCTCTGAGAGCTCAGACTCACGCGTGGATTAACAGTGTACGCGACGCTCGACAACAATAACTTACGTGTCTAAGGAGGATTATTGTTTACCTGAGAGCTGTTCTCATCTGCAAACGCTGAGATCCAGATTGTAGTCTCCTCTAAATAAAGACGCGGCTCTAGTTGCTGGTGATTGTCCTGTCTCTACAGATTTGGTAAGTGAGCGATCAGTGCTCTTTGTTTATTCCGTTCGTATTTTATTTGTATCAAACAAACTATTGCACCGAGTGCAATAGTTAGCACTAACAGTTACAACCAAACTATAACCTCGTGTTGGATTTTGTGACTGGAATAACACACGCGGCTTTCTGACGCTACCTGCCGTGTGCATCTAAGTTTCCGGGAAATGCTGAGTTTTTTTTCCTCATTCGCCGTGCGATATCAAACATTGCATGAAAAATACACGCTTAGAGCAGCGCCTCGAATCAAATATCACGTTTGTCGCGAGGGGCATTAATGAATTCCCTGAATGAAAGAGCCAAACTGCAGTTAAAGTCCACCATTTAATAATTTGGCAAATAATTCGACTACAGATGTCCATGTAAACACAGTCACATTGTCCGCTGTGGTTGTGTGTTTTGACTCTGAAATTCAGCGCGCCCAAATAGACACTCCCACACCAAGCCGCTTTTCTTCCTCCGACACTCCCCCCTAAACAGAGCTAGACACGCCCACTTTTCTGACTTTTTCCAAAGTAGAGGTGTGAAAACACACTGCTGAAATGAGGGGGTTTCATGGCCCTTTAATCCTCACGATGTTGTCAGCCGTGCAAGCGGCAGCTATATAAGAAATTTAACACAGCTCATAAAAAGACCGTTATTGCTACTAAGATGACATGCAAAGGATAAGTTATATTTTAATATAATTGTGAGGCAGCGATGGATCGGGATGCCGGCTCAGCATCGTGAAGTTTGTCGGCCATCGGCGATAGACGATGGCATCATCCATCGACACAACCCTAATTGTGAGCTTATTAACATTAGACCACCAACATTTTTACATATTCAAATCTGTAAAAAATTAAAATTCAAATAGCAAAAAAGGGTGTAAAAAAACATGTCAAAGTACTAAAATACCACAAACTGGAACCGCTGCGTAAAACATATGCCAGAATAGTTGGCGTTTCATTCCGCTGTGGTGACCCAATGATAAATCAGGGACTAAGCTGAAGGAAAAAGATTAAGTGAAAATACCACAAAAATGATGCCTCCTTTAATCAGAAAAACAATCTCAGTCTTCAATTTTCAGTCTGTCTCCATCTTTTGCGAGTGACTCTAAGATTCGTTTGAATAAACGTCAGCTGAAGAATGCAATAGTATCTGGATGCAGCCTTTATGATGCAAGCTGAGACTGCATCACTCAGTGAAGCAATGTCAGACACAATGCACTCAAATGGAGCGAGTGACGTCACGGTGAGGGGTGGGGTTAGGTGAGCCCATTAAAAAGCATTGGATGCAGCTCAGATTGCACTGCACCAAGTCTGCATCCAGACCCCTCTGGAAGAAAGATTCACTAGTGTCAAACTGTAAAGTCTTACCGGATCTCCACCGGAGGCAAAGGATATGGACTGCATGTGATGATTGGCTATTATCTGTGGAAAGAGGAGGGGGAATCATTCATCTGCAATACAACACTGGCTCCTGAAAGAGAGACGATCAGTGTGTGCGTGTGTGTGTGTGAACCTGTTTAGAGTCGGGTGTCATCAGGTTTAAACTGCTGGTGGAGATGTTGAGGTTGATGCTCATGCCAGCGAACTGCAGGTTACTCTTGCCCAAAATACTGGAGAGGAGTTTGGAGGGAGTCTGAAAGAGAGACGGACATATATCCAGTCATGTGTTCACCTGTAAAACTATTGCATTTGTATTAGTTTCTTCTGTCTATTTTGGGGAATCAAACCTGTGATCTAGAAACAGGTCTGCATGGTAAAATAGATGGTGTAAAATCTGATAACTGCTCATTTGATAGACTTTTTGCTTGAAATTAGCCTAAAAATCATCCTCCACATTTTCAAATTATGACTTCAATAATCTTTGTTCTAACTCTACATGTGTACACGTGCACATACACACACAGGAAGTGTCCTCCTAAACCACATATTCAGGCACACACACACACACACACACACACACACACACACACACACACACACACACACACACACACAGCAGGAGGCAGCAGGGCTGATTACTGCTGCTCAGTGCAGAATGAGTCACCGTGCTAACAGTATGCCCACACACACACACACACACACACACACACACACACACACACACACACACACACACTGCAGCGCCATTTCTCTTTCTCCTCTCATTTGATCTCCAACTGTCTTTATCTCACGCAGACCTTCTGAAGCTCCTCTTTCTGTGTGTATCAGTGTTTATGTCTTATCTTTCTTCATCGCCATTAATAACCTCCCCATCGCTTCCTGTTGTCATCTGCAATAATCTGTAACCCATCTCTGGTGATTTTTAATTAAATTCAGAGTAATTCCGTTTGCTTAACTCTTCATCATCATGTCTGCACCATCAAACCTTACTTTCCATAAAATACACATGGAACAATGGAAATGATCATTTATAAAGTATCTTTTCACATTTCCCATCTGGTAGGGACGTGCACATCGATGCTCGAGTATCGATATATCGATACTTTAAAGATTTTAATTTGGTATCAATATTTTAATTATATTTTAATAATTTCTGCTAACTAAATGTTTTAGTGCCGTGTGCAGGATTGTCAGTGACGCTTTGTATACAAGACGTTACACCAAACAATCTGCGGCGGAACGCAACGTGAGCGATCATGTGCCTTTCAGATACCTTACATCAGGGGTGTCCAAACTTTTTGGACCGAGGGCCAGATGCAAAAAAACAAACGTTGTCGCGGGCCAAATTTTACATACATCACATAGACACGCATATATATATATATATATATATATATATATATATATATATATATATATATATATATATATATATATATATATATATATATATATATATATATATATATATATATATATATATATATATATATATATATATATATATATATATATATATATATATATATATATATATATATATATATATATATATATATATATATATATATATATATATATATATATATATATATATATATATATATATATATATATATATATATATATATATATATATATATATATATATATATATATATATATATATATATATATATATATATATATATATATATATATATATATATATATATATATATATATATATATATATATATATATATATATATATATATATATATATATATATATATATATATATATATATATATATATATATATATATATATATATATATATATATATATATATATATATATATATATATATATATATATATATATATATATAATAGATCAGAATAAACTATATATAACAATCAACATTTTAGGATAAAACAGTACTAGAACTATATATAATCAGTGTATTTATAATGATTCATTTATAATAATCTAAATCTGTGTTAAATATTAAATAAACATAACAAAATTAAAACATAACAAATGATTGCATATTGAAATATTATCTCATATTATGGTTGATGTTGTAATATTAGGGTGCCGAGGGTTCACACTCCGTTGTGGACAGTGTGTGCTCATGTGAAGCAGGAAGTCAGGCAGAAAAGAGGATATGACATGTCATCTCCAGCGCAGCTAACGCTAACAGCGGCCCACACAACACAGCGCTCAATAAACAAGAGCCGTCCGCTGGGATGAGCCCAGATCCGCTGCTGCCACGCTAATGTTACACAATGACTCATCTGCACACACACACACACACACACACTAATTTACACTCATACACACACATATAGAGACACACGCATGCACACACACACACTCACTAACATCTCACGCGCTGCTTTTAGCAACAATAAATGAGAGTTTGGCAGAGGATGCAAATACAGAAAACACACATAAAAGAGCTGATAACAGTCATGTATCGCCACATGGGGGCCATTAACTGTGATGTAACCCAAAAGCAGCTAAAAAGCAGAGAACAACAGCCATTACTGTGATTTAGTAGCAAAACAACAGAATATAAATGTTTATCAATATATAAACACAAAAGAAGAAACTGTGCTTTCGGTCAATCAGGTTAAAGGGGTGGTCCACTACGATATCATATTTGACACTTTAGTTGATGTGTAATGTAGCTGTGTGAACATAAACAACTTCTCTGAATGTAAGACGCTCAGAGTTCAATGCAGAGGGAGGCATTAGCTATGTTTCCATCCATCTATTTTTATGCGCATTATGGATATGCACATAAACTGCGAAGGAAACACTTTTACCGCACAAACTCCAGCATGCGCATTAAAAAAGGTCATGTGATTTTGTTAAAAGAGATCATGGCTGTTTCTCAATTCCAAGAACGCAGAGAATGGACTTGTGTTCTTGTGGAGAGCGGTCTTGCCAGGTGTCCTCGGAAGAACGAACTCAGGAGACCGCGAGGGCAGAGAACGCGTCCTTTGAGAAATGGGATGCTGCGTTCTTCCTGATGGTCACATGACCTTCACGTGTTTTAAATGGAAATTATTTAAACATTACAGCAATCATACAACGATTTATTGTTTTTCCCCTCTTCAAAATATATACTTTGCATAAATATCAATATACCCTGCACAATATAAATTTCAATACGAATTTCAGCAAACAAACAACCCTTAATGTGTTTATTCCTTTATTAGGATGTCCATGTTAATGTTTACTTTCACCGTTTCATTTAGGGAAACTCCTGAGGTAAATAAGTAATATCTCTGAACTTTAATAAGTAATCTAAATAAAATTCTGCGCTTCCCACCTCCAGTCGCAATGACTTCTGGGACTTCCAGAGCGAGTTCGGTACTCTAGTCTGCATCAGTGAGTCCTCGATATCAAGAACACATCCGGGAAGTTTCACGCGTCCTCCGTACTTGCGGTCTTGAGTATTGGAACTGAACTTAGGCAGCTGATGATGACGTTGCACGAGAACACGAGGACGCAAGACAGCTGAGGAACTCATATTGAGAAACAGCCCCTGTGATGGGCGATGCAGTGGCGCAGTAGGTAGTGCTGTCGCCTCACAGCAAGAAGGCCACTGGGTCGCTGGTTCGAACCTCGGCTCAGTTGGCGTTTCTGTGTGGAGTTTGCATGTTCTCCCTGCCTTCGCGTGGGTTTCCTCCGGGTGCTTCGGTTTCCCCCACAGTCCAAAGACATGCGGTACAGGTGTATTGGGTAGGCTAAATTGTCCGTAGTGTATGAGTGTGTGTGTGAATGTGTGTGTGGATGTTTCCCAGAGATAGGTAGCGGCTGGAAGGTCATCCGCTGCGTAAAAACTTGCTGGATAAGTTGGCGGTTCATTCCGCTGTGGCGACCCCGGATTAATAAAGGGACTGAGATCATGTGATGATAAAAATGTGTGTGAATGGACAAACTATCAGGCTGAGCACACTGTAAAACATCATGTATCAACGCTGTGTGCGCACAAAAATTTTGCGTACGCCAAATTTCACTCTCGTTTGGATTTACTAACGAGGAAATGAACGTGAGAATGTGCATTGTTCTACGCCAACTTCATGCACGTGCATTTCCTGTGTGTGTTTGTTTTATTTCCATCAGCGCCTCCTATAGGCAGTTGTGTTAAATTGCACACTACAAAGTATCTTTGAGCCGTGCGATGGCAGCTGTATGGGACGGGATCATCCGCATGTCTAGCAGGTATATAAGGTTTCCATGCCATGCAGTTGACCAGCCAAACATTAAAGCGCAATCTGCAGCGATCGCCGGTTTTCTCGATGTAATCAGAGCGATCGACTGCACGCACATTGCTATAAAGGCGCTATCTGAAGATGGATTTGCATATGTGACTCGAAAACATTTCCATTCAATAAATGTGCAAACACTATGATGCTCAAATGCGCTTAACAAAATACACACACTTATTAATGATTCCTACTTGTCTTCCTCGGGATGAAGAGTGGGCAAAATCTGATATGTAGTGGGGGGAAAAAGAAGAACGAGTTCATCAGACGCTGGATTCCAACCGGGTTCATGAATGACAGTGTCAAAACATGTTGCTATGCGCTTTACAAGCTACGCCACTCACGCTACTGATGTCCTTCCTCTTTAGCTTTGTTGTCTCTGTCATTTAAACGGGCAGAAAGCCCTCAACTAGCTCATTTCAATGACAAACTTGCAAATAACAGTTTTTCTCTGGTCTACCTCCGAAAGGAGCACCTCCAATTCACATTCTGTTTAAAGTTTCTCTTTTTGCTTGATTTTGCCAATGCTTTTTCGTTTGGTTTTGCCAAGGTAGAGTCATTAGCATATTCATACAGGGGAGGAGGCAGGGAGGGGTTTTGCACTTGTGCACGTGCGCTCAGTTTCACGTTAATTCGGATGTACGTAGAGAATATGGGGGGGTTCCGCGTACGCAGTGTTTCATACATAAGCAATGTTTTAGTATGATTTCAACGAAGGTCTTTGTACATGAGGACCCCCTGAAAAGTTGTTTTGGTCATTCTAAAGCGCCTTACCGTTTCAGTATTAGTGTTATTATATTATTAATGACCTCCAGAATCAAGAGCGTCTGTGCTCCCCGTCTGACACCTTCAAACGCAACCGCGTGTTCACGGCTTGTCAGGATTGCTTTGTGAGGCGCAAGTCATTTATTAGATGAAGAAAAGATTGAAGCAGCTTCTCCTGCTGCAGTAAATTCAGCTTTTACTGTTGATATTTGGTGCCAGTTAATCAGGAAGTGACCATTTTGTTCGCTTTGACTCGTTGGATGGAAACGCTGCTTTATTCACACGTCTTTTATGCGATAATCCAGTTTTGCGCATAAAGTTTATCGCATTTTTGGATGGAAGCATAGCTATTGGCTTTTACAGAGTACGCTTAGCAAAGCCTACAGCGAATGAGTTTTGGGGACTACAAAAAAATACTTTCGGGCTAGTGAGATCACAAATGCTTTAGATTACGCACATTTACCACACGCGCACACACTGCGCAGCACAGAGCTTCTTCTGTTTCGGTATTTGGGCTTTTAAAGGACACAACACAAAGACAGAAGAGCTTACAGTTTAATTTTAATTATGTTCCAGAGAATTATAAAAAAATATACAGCTAGTATTTGACAAAGGAGAACTTCCAGAATCTCTCCCGATTCAGTGCTGGATTCGGCTAAAAACTCCTCCAAATGACGAAGCTGTACAACCTGTAAGTGCATTTATTTTTTTAAATCGATCTACAACATAACGTTATTTTGTAGTGAGGATGTAAACAAGGATGCAAACCAGGGGTTACCAATCTCGTTCCTAGAGGTCCAGTGCACTGCAGGGTTTAGCTCCAACTTGCCTCAACACATCTGCCTAGGTGCTTCAAGTATACCTAGTAAGAACTTGATTAGCTTATTCAGGTGTGTTTGATTAGGGTTGGAGCTAAAATCTGCAGGACACCGGCCCTCCAAGAACAATTTTGGTAACCACTAATGTAAACAATGGGAAATGCTGTTTGGTACCACTACTACAAATTCATATTTATCCGTCAAACCGCTGTAAACACCCTCAATCTTCACTATACAGAATTAGGAAATATGAAAGTCATGTTCATGTTAACTGAGTAGCTGTCTATAATCAAAGTAAGATGGATTGGGCATAATGAATATTTTAATCCCCAAGTTTTATATGAGAATTGTGTCCTCAATCAGGTGGAAAGGATTCTGAATGATTCAGATTAATGTTTGAATAAAGGAACGAAACCGCCGAAAATAAACCGCCGAAAATAAAATGAATGAATGAACTTTCAATGGAGTTTTTGCGCACACCCGCTGCTCCTAGCGGCACTTGTTTGTGAGCGGTCTTTCGTCTTGTTTTACACTTAAAAAACTAAATGGATGCTTAAGTCTATTTAACTGATTATATTTTAATTCAAATACATTATGGATGCTGCAAAAGAAACTGAAAAGTCACAATAATCAGTTTTTCGGTGGCTGAAAAACACTTAAACCCGGCGCAATGCAGTGCAAGGCGCGACGCAATTGTTGTTTGTTAGTTTCAGCTTGACGAAAGAGTCGTTTTGTTGTTTTGCACTATGCTGTTTTATTAGCAAATGCATTTGCTCTCATTTGTGCGCCCATAGGCGTTCTGGTCTAAAAAAGGAAGTGTGTTAAGGTGCATTGCTGGCGCGTTGCTATTTTGAAAAACTAAAATAGACGGTTCAATAGACCACAACAAAGCCGGTCTATTGTCCAGCGCAGATCGCATTAGTTGTGCACCTAGCTTACACATTGCTTAATATACACACAGGATGTACAGCAATACGCAAATATCTTTACAAATGAAAAAAGAATTAGAGGAATTAAATACTACAAAAAAATTATTATTTTCTAGCCTACATAAATATAAAAACAATACTTTCATGCAATCTTCATCTCGGGGGGCTTTTTCAGTTTATTCATGACAATTTGCTTTTGTATAATGTTATTATTATTATTAGCAGTATTATTTATTATGTGCATATTTATATTTGTTTTATTAAAAACAAGCTTAGATTTGCCCATCTGTCAAGTTTTAGACCACACTTCGTTATTATTGTTCATTTATTCATTTGCTGGATTGAACTGAATTCAGAAATAGTTAGAAATAGCTAGAAATAGTTTTGAAACAAATATTTGCACTTAACAAACAAAATTAATTATTTATATACTAATTGATGTCAGTGCGTTTCCCTATCCATGAGAGTGAAAGTAAACAATGAGGAGGCTCATTCTATCATTCCCGCGCTGCAGATGCTCTGTTTAACGGTTTTCTCGCTAGTGAAGCGTTCAGTTTTTCCACTTACAAAGTCCGCCATGTAAATAGCAAATGTGCCATGGCGCGAGGCAACTGACTCTTAAAGGGAATGGGAGATGAGACTCTGATTGGTTTATTCTCAAAACACACCTATAAAAGAAAATAAGCTCAACCCTGTTATACCATGCGCCACAGCTCAAAGCAGATTTTTCAGTCCTTAAAATAGCAAAAGTGGATTCTGACATGCCCTGAATGCTTTTGCGCCCTGCACTCTGCATGGATCGTCAAAATAGAGCCCTTACTGTGCATATAGCCCATTCATTGCACAGCATGACTGTTTTAGGTCTTTTAGCGTTTTTTGTGTATGAATACAGAGAGTGTGTTCGTACCGTGTGATCTGTGAGCGTGTGGTGAAGTCCAGAGATCTCATGGAGCGAAGAACCTCGATGCAGCCCAGATACTGAAAAACAAACACAGAAACGACATTAGAACTGCTTCTCTTGAATACTAGGCCAATAGTAGAATTACAAAGCAACATAAACTGCTGAAACCAAAAACCTGTAGAATTGATTCATCTTCATTCGCAATAGAAAGACAAAAAAACAGTATCTTTAGCGATTTTTATTTAGTGATTAATATTTCACGGTTTGTGTTAAGGTGGCATGGTGGCTCAGTGGTTAGCACTGTGGCCTCGCAGCATGAAGGTTGCAGGTTCGAGTCCTGGCTGGGCCAGTTGGCATTTCTGTGTGGAGTTTGCATGTTCTCCCCGTGTTGGCGTGGGTTTCCGCTGCATAAAACATGCTTAAATAGTTGGTGGTTCATTCCACTTTGGTGACCCCTGACAAATAAGAGACTAAGCCAAAGAAAATGAATGAATGATTGAAAATTGGTCGTAGTGTATGAGTGTGAATGAGTGTGTATGTGTGTTTCCCAGTACTGGGTTGCAACTGAAAGGGCATCCACTGCTGGAATAATTGGAAGTTCATTCTACTGTGGCAACCACTGAAATAGATACTAAGCCAAAGGTGAATAAATGAATGAATGAATGAATGAATGAATATTTGTGCTGGCTTATTAAGCCTGTCATTTATGAATATGACATTAAAGCTGCAAGTAGATGACAGAAAGTCTTGATGAACGATTTAATCTTTCAAATGATTTGTTCAAATCCAATGATTCATTCAGAAATTGAGTAAGTGGTGCTTCTTTGTGAATGGAGCTCATAGAGCTTGACATGCTGTGGTCATTGTAAACTCGGCCATGCAAGAGCATTTTAATCACAATCATAATCAGAAATAATAACCAGGAATCCAAGTAGTGAACAACATGAGGGCGATTAAATAAATTAATGAATGTTTATTTTTGTGTGGAAGATTGTTAATGCTTTTAATCTGCTTCAATCTACAGTCGCACACAAAAGTCAAACTTGTCACACAACCACATACAAAACACACAAACACACTGGTAAAGCTGAAATATGCAGACATAATTTTTTTTTTTACATGAAAACAACACTTGTGTATTTTACACATTTTATACTGAACAAAAATGAAAAAAATAAAATAAAAATCACATAAAACTGACCAATTAATTTAATCCTTAAGCCTATACTCTTAACTCTACATAACACAGCATGAATGATATTAGAATTACACTCATTCATTCATTTTCCATTGGCTTAGTCCCTTTATTCATGAGGGGTTCCCACAGCGTAATGAACTGCTAATTTATCCGGCATATGTTTTACACAGCGGACGCCCTTCCAGCTGCAACCCAGTACTGGGAAACACCCATACACACTCTCACACTCATACACTATGCCCAATTTAATGATATTCAATCCCCCTAAGGGCACGTGTTTGGACTGTGGAGGAAACCCACGCCAACACGGGGAGAACATGCAAACTCCACACAGAAATGCCAACTGGCCCAGCCGGGACTCCAACCAGCGACCTTAGGATCAATATCAATAAAGTAAATATAAATGAAACAATAAAAAGAACGATGAAAAGTCTTTAGGGATTTACTTCATTTACTTGAACATTAAACCCAAATCCTTACCCTACATACCCTACATATTTATATGTAGGGTATGTAATGTAGAAAATAAGAATGATTATACGAAAAATAAAGTCCACTTCAAATGTACCCATCTCTATTAAACACTGATTCTTAAACTCAAAACTTTAACCTTAAAATAATAGCACAGTATTGAATATGACCACAGCGATTAACAGAAATATATAAACAAACGTTTAAATAAATTCAGTTTGACAATCCTAAACTCCTTCATTCATTCATTTTCCTTTGGCTTAGTCTCTATTTCAGAGGTCACCACAGCGGAATGAACCGCCAACTGTTCCAGCATATGTTTTTTGAAGCAGATGCCCTTCCAGCCACAACAGAGTACAGGAAAACACCCATACAAACTTGCACATTCGCGCACACACTCATGCACGCATGTGTTTGGACTGTGGAGGAAACCGGAGCACCCTGAGGAAACCCACACCAACACGGGGAGAACATGCAAACTCCACAGAAAAAAAGCCAACTGACCCAGACGGGACCTTCTTGCTGTGAGGCCACAGTTCTAACCACTGAGCCACCGTGAAGCCTCAACTCACAAACCTAACGTTAAATATTAACATCAAAACGGCTATTAATTAATAAATAAATAAATAATACAAAGTTACAACAATAAAAGAAAACATGCATGTTTAAGATAAAAAACATAATAATAATAATAATAATAATAATAATAATAATAATAATAATAATAACAATAATAGCAACAAAATAGAAATAAACTCTGATAAGCATTACATAACTATTAACAGCGCTCTGCATATATTAAAAGGCCTCCTCAGAGATCAGAGTGACTTTGTCTCCAGTGGATGACATCATAGTTTAACCGTGACATCACGCCTGGTCTTTTTTTAGCCTCTCCCCTCACTGATCTCTCGCCGCTGCTGCTGCTGCATGACTCACTCAATGAGAGTCTCACTACAGCCTTCCTTGACTAAATCAATGAGTCACCTGCAGTAGCTCACCTGAGCAGAGCCCTTAACACACACACACACACACACACACACACACACACACACACACACACACACACATTCAGAAAATCAGCTTCTGCACTGCACACATCAAGACTCAAAGCGCAGGCCGGAAGCGGACAGTGAGTCATTCCCAAATGATGTTTAACAGATTTAGGAGTTTTTTCCCAGTATTTCCTATAATTTTTTGTCTTCTGGAGAAAGTCTTGTTTGTTTTATTTCAGCTAGAATAAAGCAGTTGTTAAAGAAGTTGTTAATGAGTTGTTGTTTTTTTTATTATTTTAAGGTCAGTATTATTAGCCCGTTAAGCAATAGATGAGTTACCGGTTTGTAAACATTCAGGATGCACGCACAGCGAGGTTGCAGAAAAAACCCGGGAGCGCCAGCATTTACAGCGAGGGAATGACATCCAATGAAGTACAGAGTTTGTTATTGTATTAGAGATAAGTTATATTGATTACACATTATATATATTATTGACATAATGCTTTCAGTGTATTATAACACCTCGTCACCCAGTGATAAGCTCAGTTATTCTGCAAAATTAGCGTTAAAGTGAGCAGCGTTGGTCTGACAGGTCCATTTGCGACAGCACCCTCCCAATGGATATTAGATTAGACAAATGGCCAAGCATCCAGCTCCAAATATACAACTATCTCATTAAAACACCAAGTGATTTTACAAGAGAGAAGTTAAAGGCCTACAAGTCTTTGGATGTTCACAATTTAGTTCTGTGTGGTGATGTGCGGGTAATAATGCTCCATGATTACCAGATTCAAAACTATATAGCGCTAAAAACCAAAGACAAGGAAAGAAGACGGAGCTGTAAAAGGCCTGGGTCATCATCAACAAGCTAAACAACTGTCTTGGTTGTCTTGGGGGTTCATGGCCCTTTAATACTTTGTCTTAATAAAGAAGCTTTTGTATAATAAGCCAGGGGTTTCCAAACTTTTCAGCCTGCGACCCCCAAAATGACAATGCCAGTGACTCGCGACCCCCAATATCCTGGCTATGAATACAGAAACCTTGCATGCAATGTCACACACGCACACCAATACACCCAGGGATATTCTTCGTTTAATGTCAGTGCTGTAAATGGGCCAGAAAGTTTAACCTGGTGTTATAAAATCAATCTGCTGCATCTGGCGCTATTGCTGTGTCTTTAATATAATGTAACTACCACTGGGGTCGCAATCCAATAGAACTAGCAACTATAAGCTACTATAGTAACTATATAGTAATTATAAACGACTATATTTTTTCTCTTCTATAGGTTATGGATAAAATATGGTCATTCTTATATGATTTAATAATAATAAATAGATTTTTGGAAATCACCAGGCGACCCCCCTTCATTGTCCCGCGACCCCTCGAGGGGTCCCGACCCCCACTTTGAGAACCCCTGTAATAAGCTATACACAGTTTTTTAGTTAATGAAGACAAATAAAATGAAACAGTCAAATAAATAAACTTTAAATAAATGGTAAGTGAATAAGTTTAAAAATAGCATCAACAGTTCACTTCGTTCAGCTTGATATACTAAAACAACTCAAACTAAAACTGAATTATTATTATTATTAATATAGGATGGCACGGTGGCTTAGCGGTTAGCACTGTTGCATCACAGCAAGAAAGTCTCTGGTTCGAGTCCCGGCTGGGCCCGTTGGCATATCTGTGTGGAGTTTGCATGTTCTCCCCATGTTGGCGTGGGTTTTTCCCCCACAGTCCAAACACACACGCTATAGGTGAACTGAATAAACTAGATTGGAGTGTGTATGGGTGTTTTCTAATACTGGGTTGCAGCTTGAAGGGCTGCAAAGCGTGGGGGGGGGGGGGGGGGTTGGAGGTGTTCGCCAGAGGATTTAAAAAAATCTATTTATTTTTATTAAATCATAAGAATTTCCATATTTTATTCATAACCTTTTGAAGAGATAAGAATAGTTGTTTACGGTTACTATATGCTATATAATTACTATAGTAGCTTATAGTTCTATTGGATTGCGACCCCTGTGGTAATTGCATTATATTAAAAACACAGCAATAGCGTCAGATGCAGCAGACTGATTTTATAACACCAGGTTAAACTTGCTGGGCCCTTTACAGCAATGACATACATTTAAAAAATTAAATGAATAATAGACGGGGGTCTATTGGTGTGTGTGCACCAATGCATGTAAGGTTTCTGTATTTATAAACATCTCAGAGGATATTGGGGGTCACAAGTGACTGGCATTGTCATTTTGGGGGTCGCGGGCTAAAAAATTTGGGAACCACTTGTGTAAAACATGCTGGAATAATTGACAGTTCATTCTGCAGTGGCGACCTCTGAAATAAAGACTAAGCCGAAGGAAAATAAATGAAAGATTTATTAATATATTTAGCAATGGTAAAAAAAAAATGG